GGTTTGGTAAAATTACGAGGTCACGTAGCAGCTGGACCCGCCGGTGGGTCCGTAGGGTTCAAGGGGTTAAGGATTTAAGTAGCTGGTTGCACTAACATGTCATTGGCTTCATAGAGTTAGAGCAGAACCCTGAATAATTTAAAAACATGATCATAACATGATCATAACATCATAAAATACTAAAACTAAAGTATGAATTTTGATTGCGTGTGTTTGACATCTTAGGACTATTGGTGATAAAAGAATTAAAAAGAAAAACCTGTAGATTTACCACCCAAATAATATTTGGAAATGTCAAGGTTCGTTTTACATATTTACCTGATAAAACACAGACATTAAATGAATTAGTCAAATTGTTATTTTTCATTATACAGAGATAAACAAAGTAGTAGTAAGTAGTAGTAAGAAATCTGGGGTTTGGCACCTTAACCAGGAACTTGGCAAGGCGTGCCGGTGTGGAGAGAGGAAGTCAAACCCACAACTTTCTGCTGCAAAGATTTGGTTGGCACATGTACAGCCTCATCCTTTATAAATATATAACTGCCTCACATATTATGCTGCAAGATTTTTTGCAAATAAATCCTCACCACCTTTGATATATGAGGGTCATAATAATTTCCAAACTGGTAATAAGAGTAAAATAAAAAACGGGGCAATATATATTTATTTCAATAAATCAAAGATGTAACATATTTTTCATAACACTTAAAAAAAATTATTTTTGCTAAAAATGGATGAATAAATTTACTCCTAGGTTGTATCCTCAGTCTTTTAAAACAATGTTTGTTCTTAAAGTCGGAAATTATTTACTTGATTAAATTAGGTTAGAAATATAAAAAGATTTAAGATTAAATTAAGATATAAAGAAATGTGTATATATGTATATATTCATGTAAAAAAAGCAGCAGATCTTACCAGGTTAAATTATGGAGGTTCGTTTTATTAAACAAGGAGAAACTAAAAAGATTTCTTAACAAAGATCATCAATAGGTTGACAACAATTCATATACTTATGATTCACATTTCTATTTAGGTGTTATAGATATTATAAAATAGAAACAAAAATCAGGTATTTTTTGTGGTATTTTTATACCACTCATACCTCATTAACTCAAGAACAATCAGTCCCCTCTCTGCAGGTTATATGAGTGTGGCTCCATATGAAAAGAGCAAAAGCAGTGAGGGCCCCACTTACAGTTAAGATTCTTAATCAACTGAAAAATTATAGTGCCGGTTAATAATGAAAAGGAACACTGGACTTTTTAATTGAAGGCAGGGACTAAAAAGGAGTGTTCAATTTATATTAACATCTTAATTATTATGTTCTTTAATTTGACGACTTTAAATGTAATAAAAAAAACAACTTTCATTTTATTAAATTATATTCATTTTTCAGCACTAATTAAATCAAATAAAATACATATTTACATTCAACAATTGTTTGTTGCATAATGTCTATTTTTGGACATATTAGAAATCCTAAAATTTAAAACTAAATTTGCAATTATTTTCTACCAGTGTATTTTACTTTTACTGCATTTATAAAATTATAATTACATTTTCAAAGTTTTACCCCTTAAATTAGGTTTCAAACTTGCAGGTTATATGATTATGTGAAGCTCAATTGATAAGCTGCCTGTTTTTCCTCGTGTTATTTAGGTGAGACCGTTTCGTTTTTCACGTCTAGGACCAACAGAGGGACTAAAACGGTAACAGGAGCCCAATTTTACCATAATCACTGACCCAGTTATTGGGGATTTAGACAATTCAGGGGTTCTATTATAAGCAGGTTCTCTCAAGGAGCAGATGTTGACACAAAGCTAGTAACAATCTTAACAATAACAAAAGCAAATTTGTTGATAGGTTGAATGAAGGAAGAGCTTCAGCTGATGTTTTTCATTACCTCAAATCAAGACTAAGATTCCATTCAAAATGGTTTAATCATTTCTGCTCTAAATACTTTCAAGGTTTGTGCTCCAGGATTATGTGCTGTGAAGAAATATCCACACCCCTTGAACTTTTCCACACCTTGGAACATTATGACCACAAACAGAGTTATTTTCTGTGAAAGAGCAAAAATAGTTTTTCTGTGAAGAGGGATGGAAATTATATAGGGCTTTCTAAAAGTCTTAGTTGTATTCTGTGAAAACTTTTCTAGAACTAAAATCCCATAAGTACATCCATATCACAGATTCCCAACCTAAAGGGAAAAAACACTTATTTAAAGAAATGTTTGCTAATTTTTTGACAATGTCACTGGCTGTATTATTAGGTCAGCTGCCCTGCTGGAGGGTGAACCCCTGCAAAGGTTTCAAGACCTTTCTTTTCGTAGCTTTATCTGCCTTCACATCATTTCGCCAGTTTTGTTGCCCCTTCTGAACGACAGCGTCCCCCCCAGCTTGATGCTGCTCCCATCATGCTTCACTGACGGCATTGTGTGTTACAGGCTGGTTTCATCTGACCAGGGTGCCTTTTATTGCTTTTTTTTTGTCCCCTACAAGCATTATTTCCAACTCCACACTGCAAAAGGGATCTTAAAATTAGCAAGACAAATATATTTAAATAAGTTTATTTACCCTTAATTTGTGTCTATAAATAAGATTATCTGCCTATGGAATAAGTAAGCTTAGCCTAAAAAATTGTTTTTTTCTTGTTTTAAATGTAAATTGTCTTATTTCGTTAACAAAGGGCCTTACTTACCTGCTCAATTCAAGAAAAATGCATTGAATTTGCACTGCAAAAATTTCTTAGTTAGTCATGTTTTCTTAAATTCAAACTGAAGCTCTTATTAGCTTGATTTTTTTCTCTCCATTTGAGGGCTCGGCTAGTATAGGTCCTCTGGATAGATTCTGTCATATGATTAATGCTCCCCTCAACCAGGCTATCAGTTTAGGTGGGATACCCTAATCCTGCTTTAAACTTCTCTTTGACCAGCCACCGATTTCCTCTGCCTTCAGGATGCTGTTTGCTCCCTGATTATCTCCATCAGACCTCTGAGGCCACAATAAAAGAAGCTAGACTTAAACTACAGCATGAAATAAAAAAACAATATTCAAATTTGTGGTTGCTACATGATAAAATGTGATAAAATGAATGCAGTTTGAAACTTCTGTAATGGTTTAGAGTCTCTCTCAAAATCAGAAAACATCCCTTCTTCTGTATGAAAACAAAACCAATTAGATTTTTAAACAGCTATCCATGTAGACATGAAAATGTCCCCTATTTTCCAGCTCTATCAGGCTACAGGAATGTTAGCTTAATTGTTTCTATGTTATCATGCTGTTAACCGTCACTGATCATACGCCTCTTTTAGGAAAAAAACAAACAAACAGGAAAAGAACTGGAAAAATGTGATCGTGAAATTGGATTGAAGTTCACAGAAAGGTTAAAATAGATTTCCAAAAAGCAGCCGTTGTATTTTTAGTGTCTTCAGTTTATCAAAGAAGGGTCAATTCGGGTTTTTCTCATTTATTTTTGGATGCAACTGGAGAGCCGTGACGCCACAGACCGGAAAGAGGATTTTCATTTATTAAAACCAAGCCACGATGGAGACCGTTTATCATTGAAGGAATTTGCCGTTTGACGTCACGACACCAAATATAGCAACTCCAAACAAACCACAGTTGTATGTTGATAAGCAAAGCAGCTGACTCCTCTCGTCCATGTGAGTTTATAACATTTGAGTTCCCATTGCTTAAATGCACTCTACTGTCTTTCTATTATGAAAACAGGCAGGATTTACACAAGATGTTTGCAATCATTGTGTAACCCTTTTCCTTATCAGCAGGCACCTGATCTATGTGCATTCGGAGTTAGAGGATTGTAGAAAGCAAAACATATCAAAACGAGTCAGTTTCCCTGCTTAAAGGAATAGTACACCCAAAACATGATTAGCCTTCATTTTCTACTCACCCCCATGCTGAACAACACTCTGGAGTACTTTTTTGATATCTCAAATGCATCTGGAGATCTGAGAGGCTTCTTGCTGTCTGTTGACATTCAAATAATGGAGGTCTATGACGCCAGAGGCAGAAAGGTCCATAAAAGTCCACAAAAAATGTGTCAATATTCCTCCATACTGCTCGTCCAATGTATTCCAAGTGTCCTGAGTGGGTAGCGTCCATAATTTACTCGAAACGAAGTCATTTAGAATGTTTTTAGAGCATAAACAGTAGTGTATAGGATTTCCTAAAAGCGCGCGCCTGCGAGTTCACGAGCCTACGGAAACCGCGGCAGACCAAACCAGATGAAAGTGCGTTTTCAGCTCGGCAAAGAACTCATGCTCTTCCTCAATACTGAAGGCCTCAGACATTTTTCTTTCGTTTTCTGTCTTTGCACAGGTAAACAGCACATTTCTTTTTCTACGCTTGCATTATCGGCAGAGCAGACGCTGAATGCGCACTTTCATGTTATATTTTAAAAAATAGGCACCCATTAAAAACAGACGAGATATCAGTCTGATCCTTATCTTGATGTCAAGCCAACATGAACAGGTTTGCTTAAACAAGAAAGAACCTGCTTATGACATAACTAACTATATCTGCTGCTTGACTGCAGAAATAAATGAAGCTGGAAGCTGCTGTCTACAGTTTTTACAGACACTAGGAAAAAAACGTTTATTAAAACAATTTTTACTATTTGACTGACCTCTTATTAGAGGAGAAAAAGATTGTTTTTGAGGCTTAAATGATTCCCTAAAGTTTCAGATTCAAATCAAAAAAGGCACCTTCTGTCATGGCTGTCTGACCATGACCCTGTAGAAAATCTCTGAGTGGTCCTAAAAGATCATAGGAGAAAACTCCCGATTCTGAATAATTTGGACAAACTCAACACCATTGATTTTATTCAGCGCCATCATTTCTCATCATTGGGAGAGTTTCCACTGAGGAAATGTAATTCTACTAAAAGAAGGATTTTTTTATAATGTTGCAGTGAGAGGACATTTTTAGGCTTTTCTCATTTCTTTAGATTAAAATCACCTTTTCTATAGCTTTCCTCACCTCTTTCTCATCTCTCATGCCATCTATGAGCTCCATCACCTTGATGAAGTGATGGCAGCGGAGGGAATGATCAACCGCATGGAAAGGAAGGGGTCTGTGCTGCCAGTGTCTCCATTCCCACAGAGACAGCTCCCTGGAAGGTGGTTTGTCCCTTGAATTATCCTCCTTTCGAAAAACAAACCGGTAAAAACAAATCAGAGACATTTTTCATCCTGTTTCCAAACTTTGCATAATTACACACATCTGGACAAAAAAAGATTATGCGTAACGTTTGTCAGACAGAAAAGAATTTAATGAAACCTGAGGCGTTGAGTCGCTGGGAATGGACATGAAGTGGGACGGCTTTAGAGTTGGATGAGGCTCATCTTCTGTCAGCTTCATGGTGGACGCCCACAGAGAATATTCTGTTCCGCTCAGAAAGCCATCTGATTTTGGGCTAATCTGTTGAACTGCCGTGAGATGCACACATACCAAGACCCACAACAATCTTATTAGGGAGTGTCTAAGTCTAATATCTAGGTGGAATGTTCTGCTGTCATGTCACTCACTCAGGTTATGAGGGTGAATGAGTGAAGCCCGGCCCTCAGAGTGGGACCGCCGGCCTCTTATGGACCTCCTGCTGCCCTCTCGGTGGTCAAACTGACCACAGGTGATGTGCATCTTATGCAGTTTAGGGTTCACCCCCTCAGGCAACATGCGGGGACTGTTGGGATACATGCGGAAGCCATTTTTGTTGCTGGTGATGGACTTGTACACACTGCGTTTGTTGCTCTGACTTTGATTGTAGGTCTGTGGAAAACAAAGGCCCATATTCCCCCATAGCTGATGCAGCAATGACTTGCAAATGAAAGAAGGCAGTCAGAGAAAAGCACGTACCCTCTCCTCCCTTCCCTCTGTGAGGATGACGACAATGCGCCCCCGTCGCTTACGTCCAGTACGTCCCATTCGCTGAACAAGGCGGATGGGGTTCTTCTGTGCATCGAAGCAGACAATGAGGTCCACCTCCCCGATATCCAGCCCCTCTTCTCCCACACAGGTTGAGACCAGGGTGTTAAACCCACCCTGTCGGAACCTGTGGACCACCTGTAACATAATGTGATGGTGATTTAATGTCTTCTCTCTCTTCTCCCACTAACACCATAGTCTGAATAAGCTGGGTTCTATTTCATCCCTACTGACCGCCAGAGGCGGTGCTTCAAGCACTGAATGATCATTCATGCGCATGCGCAGGTCGAGTATTAATGACAACAAAGTCAGCTGTGACCTGCCGGGGACCCACGTGACTCTATATAGTCACGTGGCACCCGGCAATCAATCCCTTTTGTTCTTCTCGCGCGCAGGTGTGTTGAGTACAGGAGTGTGGTCGTGTGAAGCTGCTTGCTTCTGTGTATACCACTAGTTTCCTGGCTGCTTGTTGCTGGTAGCCCCGTGACCGGGTTTGGTCGGAGCTGCGGGTAAGTCTCGCCCTCCAGGGGCTGCACAAGCTGCTTTCACCTTACCAGATCTGCGGTGACTGGTAAGTTTTCGTTCTTTTATCAGCAGTGGTTTACTGTTCGCTTTGATTTGCCACGTTAATTTTGTGGCTCTTTTGACTCACGTTAGCGTTTCTGCTCGGGCTGAGTTGTTTTCAGTTTGTTTGCCTAAGCCCACCAGTAGCGTTTCTGCTCGCGTTGGGTTCTTCTATAGTTTGTTTATCTACACTCACCAGTGGCGTTTCTGCTCGCGCTGAGTTGTTTTCAGTTTGTTTGCCTAAGCCCACCAGTAGCGTTTCTGCTCGCGTTGGGTTCTTCTATAGTTTGTTTATCTACACTCACCAGTGGCGTTTCTGCTCGCGCTGAGTTGTTTTCAGTTTGTTTAAGCCCACCAGTAGCGTTTCTGCTCGCGTTGGGTTCTTCTATAGTTTGTTTATCTACACTCACCAGTGGCGTTTCTGCTCGCGCTGAGTTGTTTTCAGTTTATTTGCCTGAGCCCACCAGTAGCGTTTCCGCTCGCGTTGGGTTCTTCTTTGGTTTGTTTGCCTAAACTCACCAGTGGCGTCTCTGCTCGTGCTGAGTTCATCCTTGGTCAATAATCGAGTCGCCAGTAGCGTTTCCTGCTCGTGTTGACTTGTCCTTGGTAGCGGGCTGATCACGCCTTTCAGCAGTATGATGCTGGATAGTTTATGTTGCTCGACCTGTCTGGCTCCACTTCAGCCCGATGACGGGCATGACTTGTGTCCCTCCTGCCTCGGTGTGGAACATCTCCGGGAGGCGCTGTCAGATGACGCTTGCCCCAACTGTCGCGTCATGCCCCGGTCGGTCAGACTGGATCGGTTGGCTGCACTGGAGCAGCCTACCGACTGGGCGGGCGCTTCGCCGCGTGCTCGTTTGCCGATGGAGAAAGCGGTGTGCAAACGTTCTACTGGGGCTGCACCTTCGGTACCGACAAAGCGTGCTAGACGGACCGATGCAGGGAGGTTGTCCACGAAAGTGGATCATCTCACTGCTGAGCTGGCCCAAATGAAAGCCCTCCTCCAGTCCTTTCAGACTGCTGGTGATCGTGGCACGGCTCTCCCTACCGAGCAGGATGAAACGTCAGTCAATGACGACGATGCTGTTTCCGTGGCGGCCTCTGGCACCCATTTCTGTGAGGACCTTCCGGAGCTGGGCTCCGGGGCCTCTGGGTCGGACTCCATTGCCTCTCAGGAGGATACGGGGGAGTCTGTGACATCCGCTATTCGAACGGCTCTTGCCCGTTTACAAATTAGTGTTCCTCAGGCCCAGCCTGCGGCCTCCAGCGCCTTCTTTAGGCGCAGTAGGTCAGAGACTGCCTTTGTGGTTCCTCCCTCGGCGGAGTATGTGCGGGAACTGCATGCTTGCTGGTCAGACACCAAGGCGTTTTCACGTCTGACGACGGATGGCAGGGTCCTGGCAGCTATGCAGGAGGCACCCAAGGTTGGCTTGGGGCAGATGCCAGCGGTGGAACCGGGCATTGCCTCTCTTATAATCCCGCCTGATGAGGCCTTGCGGCCCAATGCCCGTTGTCCGCGTCCTCAGTGCCGTATTACCGACGACCTTCTCTGCAAGGCCTATGACTCTGGGGCCCGCATGGGCCGGATTGGGAACTCTCTCTCCCATCTTATGCTGGCCCTGTCTTCCTCCTTGGAATCTGTTCCGCTGGATCATGCCACGCAAGGCCTGGTTGATGCATCTCTGCAGGCCTTTGCTCTTATGACGAGGGAACTTGGACGCACACTCTCCACACTGGTTCATGCTCGCCGCCAGGTCTGGTTGGCGCAGTCACCACTAACTGAGCCTTGTAGGAGGACCCTCCGGGCCCTGCCTGTGGTCCCGGGGGAGCTTTTTGGTTCTGCGGCACTGGACGCCTTGGACCGTACGGCTCAGGCCTCTAGAACGAGGCAACAGCTGGCAGGGCTTCACAGACGTGATCGCCAGCCAGTAAGCACCTGGGCAGCTGCGGGTCCTTCACGGAGGTCCTTAGTGCCTTCTCCTTCTCCCACTGAGCCCCAGGGTCTGTTACCAGGTCAGAGATCGGTCCAGAGACCTGCTCTAGATCGGAGGAACAGAGCTCGAGACCAGGCTGGAACAAGGTCCTTTCATCCCTTTCGGGCCGCGCAGTCTGGCCGGCGCCCTCCCGGGCCTTCGAAGGGCCGGGGGACCCGCAGATGATGCCTTAGGGCCGGCGGTCGGTTATTTTTCCCCGGAACAGCTCAGCTTCTGGGCTGCCCACACCCCGGACTTGTGGGTGTTGTCCACCCTGTCCCAGGGGTACCGTCTTCAATTCCGCCGCCGGCCACCTATCCCTGGCCGGGTCAGGATGACTGTGATCCACGACCCAGTGAAGGCACAGGCACTGAACCAAGAAATCTGCACCTTGCTGGCCAAGGGTGCTATAGTGCCTGTGGACCCCCTGCTGGATCCAGGGGGCTTTTATTCCACGTATTTTCTGGTTCCGAAGAAGACCGGGGGCCTGCGTCCAGTCTTGGACCTCAGGGGCCTGAATGTGTACTTGAAGGCCATGCCCTTTCATATGCTGACCACCAGGGAAGTGTTGCAGGCGATTTCCCCGGGCGATTGGTTCACTTCCATAGATCTCAGGGATGCTTATTTTCACGTTCCGATCGCTCCGCCCCATTGGCGGTTTCTTCGTTTTGCTTTTCAAGGGAGACATTTCCAGTTCAGGGTCCTCCCGTTCGGACTTTCACTGTCCCCCAGGGTGTTCACCCGATGTGTTGCAGCGGCTCTCTCTCCTCTGCAGGCACAGGGATTGAGGATCCTCCCATATCTGGACGACTGGCTCATTTGTGCTGCGACGTGGGACCAGGCGGTTCGAGATACTCGGTTAGTGCTCCATCATGTGGGATGCTTGGGCTTGCAGGTGAACATGGAGAAAAGCAGTCTGACTCCCTCACAGGAGACTGTCTTCCTGGGCATTGCCATGGATTCCATCTCAATGACTGCTTGCCCGTCACCCCAGCGGGTGGACGGTATATTGAGCGTGCTCCCGGAATTCAGGCGCGGCATGGCGCTGCCTCTTGTGCGGTATCTTCGACTCTTGGGCATGCTTACAGCTGCGTCCGCCGTAGTGCCCTTAGGGCTGCTGTCATTGCGGCCCCTCCAGATGTGGTTGAACAGCTTGAATCTGGATCCCACACGGAACACTCATCGTCTCCGAAGACTTCGGGTGGGGCCTCAGTGTCTTCAGTCTCTGTCCCAATGGAGGGTGAGGTTGTTTATGACCACAGGGGTCCCGCTCGGTTCCCTCCCGTGTCGTCGGGAAGTTGTGTTTACAGATGCATCCTCCACGGGCTGGGGTGCAACCTGGCGGGGTCAAATGGCACAGGGGACATGGTCCCAGCGGCAGGGCAGGGAACACATCAATGTCCTGGAGTTACAGGCTGTACTTCTGGCTCTTCAGAGCTTTCTTCCGGGCTTGCGGGGGAAGCACGTGCTGGTGAGGTCAGACAACACCACAGTGGTCTTTCACATCAACCACCAGGGGGGAACGAGGTCAAGGAAACTGTTGTGCTTGACTCGACGGCTTCTGACCTGGGCAGCTCCACGCATAGCCAGCCTCAGAGCAGCCTACATCCCAGGGCCGGAGAACGTGCCAGCAGATTTTCTATCCCGTCAGAAGCCGCTTCCAGGGGAGTGGAAGCTTCACCAAGAGGTGGTGGAGTGCATCTGGAAGGTCTTTGGCAGGGCGGACGTGGACCTCTTTGCCTCAAGGGACGCATTTCATTGTCCCCTTTGGTTCTCGTTGGACAACAGCAGCCCTCTGGGCCACGATGCTCTGGCACACGACTGGCCCCGGACCCTCCTTTATGCCTTTCCGCCATTCAGCCTACTTTTTCAGACTCTCCTCAGGGTACGTCAGGAGGGGCACAGGGTCCTGCTGGTGGCCCCCTACTGGCCAGCGAGGACTTGGTTTCCTCTACTGTGCGAGCTCAGCTCCGGCTCGCCAATGCGTCTCCCCTCCAGGAGAGATCTTCTTTCCCAGATGGGGGGTCAGATCTTGCACCCCGAACCGGACCGGCTCCAGCTCTGGATTTGGCCCCTGCAAGGCCGGGGTCCACCTTCTCGAGATACACTGGGTCCATAGGGCATACAATGGCTAATGCATGGGCGCCGTCCACGCGAGCTGTCTATGCTAACAAGTGGACGGTCTTTGCCACCTGGTGCCGTGATAGAGGGCAGGACCCGGTTCAGTGTTCAGTTTCTGACATACTGACCTTCCTGCAGGCATTGCTGGACCAAGGACGGTCTCCATCTACCTTAAAGGTGTATGTGGCTGCCATTTCCTGTTGGCATGTTGGGCTGAATGGTTGTTCTGTGGGCCGAGACAAGGATGTTGTACTGTTTTTAAGAGGTGCTCGGCGTTTACACCCACCCAACCGCCCTGTGGCACCGGCGTGGGACCTTTCTCTTGTGCTTGAGGCTCTTCGGTCCCTCCCATTTGAGCCCCTGGCGTCGGCGGACCTCAAATGGCTCTCACTGAAGACTGCGTTCCTTTTAGCTATGGTTTCCGCAAAACGTGTAGGGGAGTTACAGGCTCTCTCGATAGCCGAACCCTGCTGCCGGTGGAATCCTGATGGCTCAGGCGTTACACTGTGGGCTGACGTAGCGTTTATTCCTAAGGTATCACTGCCAGCAGGCAGCACCCAGCCTCTCCATCTTGCCCGGTTTGACTCCGGAAGTCCCTCTGAACCACTGTGTCCTGTTCGTGCCCTTGAGACATACATCAATGCCACGGCATCCTTCCGAAAGACAAATAGCCTTTTTGTTTGCTACGCTGGCTCACGGAAGGGTCAGGCACTTTCTAAGCAGCGACTTGCACACTGGGTTGTGGATTTGATCTCCAAGGCTTATGCCTTGCAGGACCGGCCACTGCCGGCGGGAGTGAAATGCCACTCTACAAGGGGCATGTCGACATCGTTTGCTGCTATGACTGGGGTGCCATTGGATGTTATATGCCGTGCGGCCTCCTGGAAATCACCTAGTACCTTTACTCGGTTCTACAGGGTGAATGTGGCTGCGCCCCATCCGCTTCAGGGAATCCTCGAGCAGCATGCCTCTACATCACATTAGGTGGGTGGTGTAGTCGTTGTTCCTTGAATGTTGCTGATTCCTCGTGACCTTGTTGATATGAGTCATCCAGTGCTTGAAGCACCGCCTCTGGCGGTCAGTAGGGATGAAATAGAACGAAAGTTACTACCGTAACTACGGTTCTATGAATCCCGGATGACCGCCAGAGTGCTTGGTCCCTCGGAATCTCTGCTTTCACGAGAAGATTGTGGGATTGATTGCCGGGTGCCACGTGACTATATAGAGTCACGTGGGTCCCCGGCAGGTCACAGCTGACTTTGTTGTCATTAATACTCGACCTGCGCATGCGCATGAATGATCATTCAGTGCTTGAAGCACCGCCTCTGGCGGTCATCCGGGATTCATAGAACCGTAGTTACGGTAGTAACTTTCGTTTTGTGAGCCATCAGAAGGTGGGTTTACTAGAATCAAAAACCTTACTGTTCCATCATAGTCATCGATTAGATCCTTAATAAATATTTTCCTAACAAAAAACACGTCATTTTTGTCCTGAAAATGTTTTCTGATATATTCTTTTAATAAAATAAGGTTTAAAATCATTTTATTTATATATCAAGATCGTTCTAATACATTCAAACACCTAAAATAAAAACTTCAGTTCCAGTTAGAGGCTAAATCCACTCATCTAGTAGGTGCACATCTTAAAAGGTTTATTTTGTGGCTTTTTTTAACTATCATTTTCCAGCAAAAACTTTAGTCTTTGAAGAAAAAATAAGAATTGGATGCAAAAAAATTGCAAAGTTCCTGTGGATTTTCTCTCATTCATATAGGGTGCAAATTAAATGTTGGGTCCAATACCATTCGCACTTCTGGGAAATTTATTTTACCTTAAATTAAATTTTTTACGATCAATCATAAAGCTGTGCACTGTAGGAGCAGTGTTTCAAAATACCTCTTACAAAAAAAAAAAGAGAGAAACATCTTTACTTGAACTTTAGAAATCAAACCACAGAAATTCTAATCTACATCTTCCTTTGGTGAATAATATGAAGCTTAACAGTACAGAAAGCTGTAATAATACTTCACTAAATCTGATAAACTACAGAAAAATAGATTCTTTTTGCAGCCATCAACAATATTCAGCTATTATTTCAGTCACTCGCTTTGAGACATAATTTCTTTTTAAGAATGTCATCATAGATGTGCTCTTTTATTTGCATTGACCCCGCTTTCAGGTGAATTAAATCCCAAACTAGTTTCAATGCACACCTTCCACGAACCAGTGGCTATCAGCAAAAAAACCCTCAGCATGATGCAACCACCACTATGGATGCCAGTTGGACGACATCCTTCTTTGCTTTAAAAGTCTCACATAGACTGCTCCAAACACACGTCTCTTCTCTATAGCCAAACTGTTAGTTTGTCTCCTCTGACCATAAATCTCTCTAGAAAGCTTAACTTGTTCAAATGGGAGGCTGCAAAGTGTTGATTTTGGAGTCTGTGCTTCTTTCCCTAAATCTATGTTGATAAACTGGCTTCATTGTGAATAATTCCAGCAGAGTAGTTTTTTGCTGCATTGCTGGTTTGACGGTTCCTGAATTCCATTTGAAAACTTTGGTCAAACCTTAAAACTGGACATATCAACAAAACAATGAATCCAAAAACAGACCTAAACCCTCTAATCAAAATGAATTAAGCAGAATCCATTAAGGAAACCATTGATCCTAAAATAACAGCTTATTTCCCCAAGAAAAGTTGTCAAACATCAAAACAGAATTACCGTATGCGGAAAAAAAATAAATAAAATAAACTAATCAAGCTTTATCTTTTTTAGCTACAATCTTCTAAGTGTATGAATTAATTTGAACCTTAACATTTAATGTTAAACTTGTGTTACAGTAGTAGCCATTCAAAATGTCCCCACTTTCCTTGATGGGCCCTTGGCTGGTCCTCTACAATTCCTTTTTAAACATCAATATTTTTAATAAAATATTCTTTCTGTCATGATTTGTGGACATTAAGATCTAAAGAGAAGCGTCATCTTCTGGTCAGGCCCTGTACTTCAGTGAAAGGGTGGAGTCAGAGTAAAAAAATATCCACGAGGGGGGTCAATCCATGGGCTGGGAGTTGCAGGGAAGTGGGCTGCCATTCGGTTGACCTTTGACTGGGAAGGGCCATTTGAATGGCTGCTACTGTAATAAGAGAAAAGCCCCCAGATTAAACCTTGTGTACAAAGAGGTCTTTATCCAGGAGACATATTGTGAAATAATCCAACCCTAGAAAAGAATCAGTTAAATAAAAGCCTAACAATAACAAGACAGTTATGCCCTTAATGAGCGGAAATGAACCTCTGACCAGCTTTATACATGTCCATAATACCATCCCTTAGATACAGATGCTTTTAAAAAATGTTAGATGTCTTGACCTCCAGTTGTTCCTTTTGGGTGAAGCCTTTGACCCCCTTCCCAGAAGAGGCTTGTCCCATAAACGTCATGACCTTTATCAGCGGAGCATGCTGGTTTAGCATGGTGGCGATCTCCTGGACGCTCTCCCGGAATGAAGAAAAGATCATCACACGTGTGCTCACTCCGTCTGCACCAGAACCAAGAAAGGGAGGTAGAAAAATTGAAGAAAATGATTTGATTTCTTGAGGAACCATCGGCAGCTCCTTCCATGTACCCTAAATCAAAGTTAGGGTAGACTGGAACATCATAATAAAGCTGGACTTAAACAACAAGCTTTAGGATTATTCACATAACTTTGAAACATAATAAGGCATTAATGGATTCTTACAATTAGAATAAAGGATTTCATTCTAACATCAGATCGCTGCCTTGATGCATTCAGGTTTCCTCTCAAAGCTAAAAACAATCATTGCATTTATGAGTCACGGCTTAGCAGTGCTATATAAAGACATCACCATTTGTGTCTGCGGAGCTCTCAGCCCACACGTTGAAGTGCTGCACCACCACCTCCTCCAGCTTCTCCAGTTTGGGATGACTGTAAATGAATGGTTCATCTGGACCTAGAAAAATACATAACAGAGAAAAAAAAAACTAGTCAAAAATAGAAGCCTGTTTTTTTTCTAATATATAAGTTGAGGAAAAGAGAGCTGTCAGCACAGAATATTTTAGTAAGCCATCTGATAAGATCCAGCCACAGCCACATCCCCTCTGCAGAACAATCGGTCACAAATTTGGTCACAAGTCTGTCGGCAGCTCTGCTGCTTTGCAGCAAGAGAATTGTGTTTGTCTCTGTGTTGCCCTGTGATTGACCAGCAACCTGTGCACCCAGCCTTTAGCCCATATGCCTGCTGGAGATGGACATCAGGCCCCATAACCCTGACAGATAAGCAGCAGATGATGGATGGATAAATAAATAACTTTTTAGGGGGAACATTATGTAATTTAACAATAAAACAATGAAAATGTATGTGAAAGGGCAAGAAATCAAGACATTAAATATAAGTTTTAATTTAAAAAAAACTCTGAAAGGTATGCCATGCATTTGCATTTTAACCCCTTTACTTTGCTGCCCCTGAAACAAATCCAGCTGTCTCTGATCTAATCTCAGTAAAAAAAACAGCTAGAAAGTGAGGACCCTGAAGGTTTGTTAGAGAACAAACAGCATCTCAAAGTTCCTTACACAGCAGACAGATAAGGGAGATTATTGTGGAGAGGTTTAAAGCAGGGTCATGGTATAAAAACAATAACCTTAAGGTTTGGATGGCTCACAGAGCTTTGTTCACTCTGTCGTCTAATCATGGAGAGCAAAGCACAGCGGCACATCTACTGAGACATGGCAGGACAAGCAGAGCATTAAAAAGAAGCAGCAAAAAGATCCATTATAGCAACAAATTAGTGCTGGAGAGACTCAGCTCAGGTGGGAGAATCTGCTGACAGGACAATTCTGTCCTTTATAGCGGAATAGTGAATAAGTCCCCAAGACACGTATGGGACACAGCAAACAAGCAGAAGAAGCTAAACCTAAGAGTAAATTTGGCTAACGAGGAGGAAACAAACATATCTCCACTGTGTATTACATGGAGGTGGAAGCACTATGCTGAGGGACTGCTTTTCTTAAGCAGGGAGTTGGAAACACGGTTAGAGGCAGCGGATGTGTTAGATGGGGGGTGGAGGTTCACTTTTCAGCAGGAAAATAACAGCTAGAGCTAAAAGGGATTGTTTAGCACAAAATACTCATGTGCTGAAATTGCATAGTGAAAACCCGGACTTCTATTTTAAAACTGAAGACAGTGAAAATAAGTTTAGAAGCTTTCCTTGCAGTCTGAGCCTGAGCTCATTTAGAAATAAACCAAAAATTGCTGTCTCCAGATGTGAAAAGATGGATGAGACAAACCCAAAAACGAACTGAAAGCACAGTTGTTTTTTTTATGTGACCCCATGTGAGCAGGTTTAAGGGGTGTGAAAACCTTGAATCATTTATGAATGATCTATGTGATACAACCTGGTGGCTTCAGGAACATGGTCTCCATCTCATGGTACAGGTCCATGAATGTTGGTGTCCTCTGTAATTCATTCCTTGCTCTGGACATCTCTGAGCCAAAAAGGAAAGTACAAGCTTAACTCATACACATGTTGGCAGAAATCAGGCTGACGTAAGAGAAAAATGCCTGGAAGTCTTTAACAGAACAGAATCTGGTCTTTAAATGACACTGAAAGAAAAAAACAAAGTCTAGAGAAAAAATGACTGACCTCTGGATCCATCCATGATTCCCTGGATGTAAAAGAAAAGTGATCGGAGACCCATCTGCATCAGCAGCTCATAACCGTGGTACAGACTGATGCAAAGGGCAAAGTCGCCCTCCAGTATTCCCTGATGAGATCCCTGAAAAGAGCATGATGCATTGAATCAATGAGGAAGTTTCCCCATAGTACGGTAATTGAATGACTGCAATATGTTAGGATATATCTTAATATATGCAAATGTTTGGGGGGAAAAATTCTTATAATTCAGCAGTAATCTATGCTGCAAATGTAATATTATATGAAAAAAAGGAAAAAATTAATTTCTGAAAAGAAAAATCATTGAAGGCTCAGATATTTTATGTTTTTTACACATATTTAATGATGTCCTGATGTCGCATGATGTTTTCTAAGTTAGAGAAATCAATTCTAGATTTATAGATGAAAAACAAAACAAGTAGAATACTAATAATGGAGGTAAACAGAACTAAAGATTGATGAGAGCTCATGCCTTGATGTGCGGCGCTGGGTTCTTCCGGAACTGATCCCTGGCAAGAATGAGCTGGTATTTGCTGAGAAGCCGCAGGTCTTTGTGGGCCATCACTCGATTCTGAACCAGACGGGATGTGAACTTTTCTAGAACCTAGCAGGATGCATAAAAAAGGCAATTGTTATAAAATGATGTTTTCTGTTTAAAGAGGGAACACATCAGCCTTATTGAGCAGCACAGCATGCCCTCTGAGACCACATTTGACAGAAAAGTTACCACTACTGCTGCAAAGTGACTGACTGAAAGGCCTCGGTCTAAATAATACAAACAGATGTGGAACTCTGTGTCCCGTTCACTTGTCCTTGATTTCACCAAATGCGAAAACAGAAAGAAGCATCCATTCAATTTTCAAAGAAGCTTTTCATCCTCGAAACTGCAGATAATGACACACTGGGTCATTATTACCTCAATTCCATCTAGGTGAAATTTCTTCTCTACAAATTGAACAGAAAATAAGACTGCACTGAAAGAAGTAGGTTAGTCACTGATTTCACCCTGTTTGTAAAAGAAAATCTAGTTTTATAACATCTGAAAAGCAATTTTATTTGCTTTGTGGGCCTTTAAAAATTGTGATTTATAAAGGAAGAAAAGGAGCAGGAAACATCCAGCCGAGTTCTATTATTCCCAAAAGAGAACTACATGTATTTTAGCATTCATTAACCCTGACATACTTTAAATTCACAGCTGCAAAGAAAATCACTCCTCTTATAAAACATTTTCTCTCAAAGTGTAAACAGTCTTACATCCGCCCTACTTACCTGAACTTTCACCGTTCTGAGGTGAAATGTGAGCAGCTTATGGAGACAAAAGGAGAGGATTGAATAATATGAGCCATAGATTGAATGATAAGTATAAAACCCGCTGAGTTTTCATAAAACACCAACAGTCTGTCCAATGTTTTAAAACAAGCAAACAAAGGGAGGTCCGACCATCTGCTTAGGGCTGTGCTTCATAATGACACTCGATAGGGTTTCTGCCCAGATCCAAAGAACCCAGCTTAAAGTATAGAGTTTAACACCAGATAGGACAGAAGCAAAGCGCTATTTGACTTTATTTATTCCAAATTTAACTCATCTGTTATTGTTGCAACTTTAAGTTTTCAGTTTTGTGATCTTGCAACATAAAATACATAATATTCTTATGTGACTTTATTAAGTATAAGTATTAAACTTGATTTAAAAATGCATACCCAGCATATTGAATATCATAGTTGGCTTTTTTTTTTATGAATTTACTTTTTAAAGGTATTTTGATGATTAACACAAAAACAGAGCTTTAATTCTTTTTCTGAGCAGGTCTTGATTTCAGGTGAGATACTAGAGTGGTTTAAAGACTTTCAAATTTTTCATTTTACTGCTAAAATAGAGGCCCATTGTTAAGGAAAATGAACATGATACATGGTATTCATTCTATTTTATAACAACTAAAGATCTGAAACCCATAGTTAGTCTGATTTCCCTAAATAAAAGTCTAATATAAATAGGTTCTAACATGTTTTCTGCCTGGACTGCACAGCTTCATGCATCTTCCCAATCTGGATGGCTTAAAATATTATTGACAGGTGGACTAATTACTATTTTATAACTTTTGTAAGAAATTGGTTGTACTATGTTTTATTAGAGACACCGAATGAAAAAGGAGAAGTAAATAAATCCCTTATTTTATTTAGCAAAAAGTGAAAAGCTTTATGAATATGAAAAAAACCTTTTGTTGCTTTAAAACAAACAAAAAATCCCTCAAATTCTTTGAAGTCTGCCGCTTTAGTGCAGAAAAATGTGAAACATTTCAGAGGAATTTTTGAAAAATACTGGAGATACCTGCACTCACAACTCTATCTTTTTTTTAATGCCTGCAAATTATTTCAAGGCCATAAAACAATCCAACATTCACTTCTGCTTCATCTAAAATAATCTCAACTAAAAGTTTAATCAAATTCTCTTTTTTAAAACATTTAATCTAGTTAAGCTATAACCAAAACCTTCTAAAACTGCTGTTGCAGATTAGGTAAGTTTATGTTGCTAGACTGGAAACCCAAGTTTTTAGAGAGGTTTCTTGACCCCTGGCAATCACCACCCCCACCAAAAACCAGGCTGGTTAAGGAGGGAAAGGGACATGAGAACAACCAACACAACTGAAAGAGAAAATTCAAACCTCTGCTCTTGTTCTGCAGTCTAACGTCAATTTATTTTATTAATATCATTCAAGTTTTTTCCCTATTTGATGCATTAAAATACCTCCCTTAATAATTTAATTTAATGTCCCTTTAAAGGAACTCATGATTATCCTAACAATAAAAACCTCTATTTTCCTAATTTAAAGATGTCTTCTTCTTTCATCTATTATTAGACAGCCCTTGGAAATACCAAACATATTTTCCAAATGAGTTATTCTTGTTTCTAGAATGCAAAACAAAGATAGATTTTTTTTAATAAGAGGACAGACACGGCTTCCTCTGTGGGAAGAGAATACTGTATTTTTGCAAATAAAAAGCACATAGATCTAGAAATGTTATGCTGTTGTGAATTTAAAAGGCACTCTGTATCGTCTAGACCAAGGCGATGTCCTAAACGACCAGCTCTTCAGCCTCTTCGAAAAACACCACAACACACCAGTGAGTAGGGCTGGGGCATTAAATTGCATTTGCAATATAATCGCAAATTTAATTTTCAAATCACAGAAGCGCTCATTTTAATCCTACTATAATAAACAAGAATAAGACACTAAATTTTTCCCTCCAGCACTTTGTGTGGTGATTAAAGGCTTGAAGTGGGTTGTTGCAACACAGAAAGTTAGAGCATGCTGCAGCTAACAGCAGATCCATGCATGCAAGTAGAAGTAAACACTTTTTCACACAATGGTTAAAGAAAAGTTTCAAAAACTGAAAGCCTGGATTAAAACATCTATAAATTTGGAGTTAGTGCAAAGAAACATCTAAATAAAATCGCAATCGCAATACTGGTTAAAAATAATCACAATTTAGGTTTTTGTTGCTCTTCTTTTTCAATCACACTTTAATGCATAAATTCAAAAATGACTATATCTAAACAGAGCATTAAAAATATGATAATTACACATGTAGTTCAGTTAAACGCCGACTCTGTTTCATATGTCAGTATAAGTAGCCCTTTGTATGATTTGGTACCAATGAAAACACTCTCAGCTTTATTCTGTAAAAATTCAAAAAATATCCACTGGACTTGGTTTTCAAGATTTGAAATCTTTGAATTCAAATCTTGAAAACCAAGTCCAGTGGATATTTTTTGAATTTTTACGGAATGACTTTGACCTGGATGACTGAGAACCTTCACCAGCACACTCTCAGCTTTAAAAAGTTTGGTGACCTTTGACTCAGACTGACAATTTAAAACAAAATATAAACTCATTCGGCAAGATTTAGATTCAAACAAACTTATCAGTTTCTGTAACATTTTCTATTCTTTTGCTACATCTAAAGTTTCCTTTTACTTAACAATCACAGGCATTTACTCTATTATTTTATTATGTTTCACTGTTGAAATAATATATGAGACGCATTTTAAATAAATAAGATTTCCAGGCAGTAATAAACTAACCGCTTAATTGCAAACAATGACTCTTTTCCGCACACACTGCAGAAAACTGCCACACGCTGGCTCCTTCTGCTGTCCACAGTCGGCTGACAGACAGGTGGAGCTCAGTGGGGAAATGCGTGCACAACGGTCAAGTCCAGCTTATGAGATTAATCTGAACCAGATTAGAGAGGTCGACATTTTTGCCTAGTTGGAACGTGGTGTGCAACAAGAGAAACTGTAGAAGGAAAGTTGAGGGAAAAAAACATATTTATTCCATACTTTAGCTACAGTTCCAGCAACTTTCCATTGTATTTTTCTCACACGCTTACTGTCTTTAACCTTTTGTATTTTTTGCAGCATTGTAATAAACACATAATAATATTTTGAAAGTAAGAGAGTTTGCTTCTGTTCCCTCCATTTGTCATGATGAAAAAAAGGTTAATAGATTTTCTTTTTTTTTCAGTAGCATTGAAATGGTAATACGAGTAGTTATATGAGCTATTCATTTATTGATAGGATCAAGTGCATGCAAGCAAAAAGCACTTAAGCACACCATTAACAGCTATTTAGTTCCAACAGACCCCAATCAACTTTATGAAGGCATCCTCTCTAAGTGAACTGGAGCCTCAGCTGACTGGCTAAGAAGCATGAAGGTAAGGGAGGAGTAAAACAGTTTGGGCTAAATCTAACACAGCCTACAATAAGTTGAACTCTCTCTCATGCTTATCAACATCAGGATGGTCTCAAAGTCGTGTCTCTGATTTATAAAGCCTGATTATAAAGGTTTAGTATCAGGAAGAGACAAGCAATCTGGGTTTGTTCAAACTGATAGAAGAGAATATTACATTGATCCCATTATGATTTAATTCAGATAAACTTCCACTGCCAAAAATGTTTTTGTTTTAGCTATTGTACAATTTAGGTATAAGTTCAAAAGAAAAATGGATGACCAGTTTTATGTGGTAGGGCTAAGATTTAGTTTGGGGAAAAATGGATGCACTTCAGCTACATGCTGCCGTCATCTTGTTACTAATCCAAGGTAACCAATTGGTCTACATATATAGATTAGGAAAACGTCTAAGCCAATCAGACACAGACTCTGCAATCAGGCTAAACAAATAGCACATGCACAAAAACATACTATTCAGTTAAATGCAATCAAGATTATTTAAACTTTTTATTCAAATGCCTATTCCATGGAGAAGGGCCATGTTTTATTTTTTTTTTTTACTCAAGTAGAAAAATTCTTGCACTGGTCTCTGTCTACTTCAGTTGTTGCACATGGGATCCTGCAGAAGGTCTATGGTTCCATCTCCTCGCCTTGTGGAGGTTTGTCCATGTGCATATCAGTGTATGTGTGGACTCACAGAAACACTCCCCCACCCACCCCTACCCCCAGAACATAGTGGATTATATAATGTCCTCACTACGTGCGAGCTGAAGGGTACAGCATGGTGGTTGGCTGTGGCAGTGACACAGATCAGAGGAAAATCCTGTCTAGGCTGTCCCCTAGTGCTCATCTTCAGATTTGTCTGGTCCTCTGTTTTTTAATGTTTCATTTTTATGGATGGCTATAACATCAGTACACAAATTCTTAATTATGTTAAATATCCAATCACTTCAATAAAAATTAATCTCCTTAAATCTTGTTTGCTTTTACGGTGGAGAAAATTATATCAGACAACCACGCATATAAGTAAAAGATAAATAGAGATATTAATACCTAAAATTATAATTGATGGTAAATTAAATAGTCTCTTTTCATAGCTGTATTAGATCTTAAATTTTGTATTTTAAGGATAAAGTAGGACGCATTTAGACTAGAAATCTTTAAATTTCTTATTTTTTCCCCATTTGAGGAGCTTGAGTGAGTGAGTTCAGGGGTATTTATCTCGGGCAGCTCGAGAGGGCGGAGCCTATGAGAGCCCGCAGCATCACGTGTCACCGCGGCACGCCCTCATAAACATCACAGCCACCTAGGCTGCGGAGCGTCACGCTGCTCTGCACGGGAGAGGGTGACGGCGGCCCTGCTCGGTTTGTTTTTAGCCATTTTTAAAGTGTTCCAGGCTAGTTAAGATGTTTCACTGACGTTGGATTCAGGTGTGAGGAAATAAAAACATGGCTAAGCGCATCAGATGCCGTTCAGGGACACCTGGTTTGCTGACCAGAAAGTACCGGTTGTTCTAATCTCGACTCATTGCTACCAGGAAAAAAAAAACAACGACGGTAACTTCGATAAAGATCAGCGACGTAGATTCAGATTGTTTCAACCCTTCAAGGTCTGCTTCCTTTAGTGTTCGGGCTAATCGTCCTAAAATGGACCGAGGAGGCTGCCAGATGAGCGGAGGAGGCGGCGGCAGCGACGCCACCGACCGACCCGGGATGATCACCCTGGAGGACCTGGAGTCCTTCTCCGAGGACCAGCTGTCAGACTCCGGTAACGGCAGCCTGGAAGAGGAGGGAGAAACTATGGAGGCAGAAGACAATTCCGACCGACTGCTGCATTACTGGCAGGAAGTGGCGAGAGGACACCAAGTGGAAGTTTCTCCAGGTAAAAACCCAGAAAAAGGAACAAGTTAATTAAAAGATATATATTTTCTGTTAGGGGTTTAGATATCAGATAAGCTCAAGCAGGAAAAAGCAGGCCTGGATCAACTTTAGGAAAATCCAATTGCTCAGGTCTTCTGAACAGACTGACCTAGATTCCTGACCAACCAGTTCCAGATAGGACATTCCCAGCCCTTCAGGCGCAATGTGTTTCAAACAGGTATTATCTGAACAATCGGAGGCTAAAGTTTTTATTTTTATATATAAACCTTTTTCTAAAGCATTGTTGTGAAGTGTGGGGTATTGATCTCCATCTCACTCATCAGACAAAATGAATATGATACAAAATTACTGTTTATGATAAAAGCATTGCAACAGACTAAGCATAGGATCTCAAAGTATGATAACCTGGATTTCCTTTAAAAAAATGTAAAAAACAAAACAATCTACTGGCCTTTGTTTCTAAGTTTGAAGACCTTTTGCTTCCCATTCAGGAAGTTTTTTTTCAATTCAAATGTCATAATTAGCATTGAGTTCCAGGCTTTTTATAGTGGAGCAAACAAAGCCTTGTTTTTGGCTTAGAAAACAGGCAAATTGAACAGCTAATTCTGACATTTTGAATTGAAAAAGTTTCCTGGATGGGAAGCGGAATGTCTTCAAACTTGGGAAACAAAGCCCAGTGGATTGTTTAACTTTTTTTTTTGGAATGACTATGACCTGGATGACTGAAAATCTTTACCAGCGATAACCTGGATTAAAAATACCATTTAAAATGTTCAAATAAAGACGTTATACAAATGTGTGTAGATAACTGGTAGATCAGAATAGCAACATGTAAAAAAAAAAAAAAAAAAAAAAAAAAAAAACTATATATATTCTTGCTGCAAATGCAGGATAAAAACTAGTTAAAAGTACTATTAGTCTTTGCCTAAACATGCAGAATATTTTAAGTAAGTTACTTTGGTTGTTATACAGTATATTATACACTATTCTTGTTGTTCAGCATTTCTTTTTTCTGGGTTGGAGGGGTTGTTGTTGCAGCCAGCATTGTGCAGCAACAAGTGTTTGTTGAGGAGGGCTGCAAACTCTTTGCTCCAAGCAGCTGAAGCAAGGCAACTGAGACAACTCCAGCACTGGCCGTCTCTTTAGCAGGATTGTAAGACGAGTATAAGCGGTTCATTTTAGGTGATTTGAAATGGGGACTTTTTAAAACCTGCATGTATCTCTGATCCCTGCAATAGGTCCTAATTTACACATATAAAAAAAAAAAAACATTTTGTGTTACAAACAGACAAATACCTCATTTAATACCCCAACTATCTCTGTTCAGTGTCGATAAATAAATAAATCCCTTCATACCCGCGTACCTAACTATTGAACACTGAAGTACTTGGAAAAAAAATTATTTACAGAGAGTTTTGTTGATTTTTAAGAATTAAATAAACCACATTTGCAGACAACTAAACCTCAAAATGAAGCTCTGGCTGTGACTCAAAAATGAAGAAAGAGGAAACCTCAGCTCAGCTCTAGCAGCTAAAAGGTTGTTATTTTTTTTTTTTTTGGGGGGGGGGGGGGGGGGGGGGGGGGGGCGCTTGTGCAACCAGTAGTATCACTAATGAAGTTATTGAGCACAAACACCAGCCGCAGACTTGCCGATAGGAACGTGCGTATTGATGCTAAGCTTGAACCAAATTGACTCAGTAAGGGGAAAGAAAGCTCATTTAAGGGCTAAATCTAAATTATTTAATCTAAAACTAATTAAGATCTCATTAAATTGACTTTATGTATCAGCGGTCTCCCCGGATGCTCTCAGGTAGCACCATGGCTCGTATATCTACAAACTGATAGTCAGGAATAATAATAAAAAAAATTATGATTAAATATACTTTTGCTAAATTTGATTCAAGAGATCCAAGACAACTCCTTATAAATAAATGAAGGCTGTTTTGCCCCTTTCTGTTGTCATTATACCCCTAAATAACAGACTATACCCTGCAGAATTAAAATCATGCGCCTCCCCTCAGATTATTTCATGAATAAGGACCTGAGCAGTTTGGGAAAGACGGTAACTGATGAAATATTTTGTGTAAAAGTGGAAAATTGTTTTGCAATGCTTTTGTTTTTTTCTATGCTGATTAAATTTCTAAGATTTGATAATGGAGATAATATATAATAGATGAAATGAGAAAGTGATGCTGTAATGTTTTTTTTATCCTTTATTTTTCTCAAAGTGTCCTACAAGCAGAGTGAACACATTGTTGAACTACACCACCGGAGTGATTTTCCTGTAATGTTTTGTTTCTAACAGGCATTATGGGCAGATTGCGACCCACACAGATTTTTAAGTTTTATTATTGTACAAACATTTTGCAAAATGAGATATATATAAAAAATTTTCCCCCTGTCTATTTAATGATTTAACTTGTTCAAATATCCCTTTGCCTAATGAATGATTAGACTATGACTATGCACTTGTCAGTAAATAGTAATGGTCTGACAGCTACCGAATCTCCTCCTTGGTGTCTGCCAATGGACTAGGGCTAAAACAATTAATCAGATTAATTGTGATTAATCGATTGTTGAAATGATCATCAACTAATTTAGTAATGGATTAATCGTTAACTGGAGTATAGAGACTGTAAAACATGCCTTTAGCTGACAGAGCGACCTAATTAGAGCAGTATTTATACCAAAACTGCGTAAAAAAAAAAAACACATATCTTGTATTGATTTTTTTTAATTGTCCGTTAATATGCTCTTCAGAGAACTCCTGAAGTGAGTTTTATTTTCACCCGCTTTAATGCTGTAAAAAAAAAAATCTTCTTTAAGGATGTTTTTGCTATCAGATTATTAATCTGAACTGAACAAATAATCAACTAATCGGTTAGCAAAATCATCGTTGGGGACGGTAGTTGCCGGGGACATGGAAGATGTTTTGTTTACCACAGCCTTAGGATGACACACTGGCTTTTTAAGTAAATACAAGTTGAAAATGAATGAGAAGTCCAGATTGGGTATTTTCTTTCTTAAACCAACATTAAGTTTTAAACCTTCATAAAATATTTTCATTGTGATTATATGTCAACTTAATCAGTTGAATGACACCTCTGTCATGGCCTGAGGATGTCTGTATGGCTTAGAGCCTCTGAACCAAGCCAGCCACACAACTACAAACATGCAGACTGCTTTACGGCATCTATCACTTCCTCCTTTCCCCATTCGTTATAAAGCAGGAAGTTGATGCATCTAGGTTTCCCTGACGGAATGTAAATTTGTGCAAATTTTTCAGGGTTGATATTCAGGAAATGCAGCACCTTCCTCTGGAATCTCTGTGTGTTTATTGTGAAATGATCAAATATAACATATTTATACATTTCAAGGCTCTAAACTCGTCAGTAAATCAGTCTTGACCTATTAAGAAAATTACAGTGTTGGGAACATCAAGTTTATTTTTTCATTAATTTAATTTAAAGTAGGCATTTTATTTTTTAGTTCAAAACTTTTTTTACTTTAAATGTCTGTTATTAAACACATCAAAACAGAAGGGATAGATTAATCCAGTACTAAAATAATCTAAAGCTGCAGGCCCAAACATAATTATCTTTTGCAAAAACAACTGTTTTTGTTCGTCTGGCTTGACGCGTCCCGTAAAATGTAAAGGTTTACCTTAGGACAAGGTTTCTTCAGGAACAACAGTTGTAATTATATACATCTCGTAAAACCTGTTTTCAAGTTGAACATTAATGATCTAACTGAATTCACAGGTTAAAAGCTGTTCCACTGCATTGTTCTGTGAGCATCTTCATGGCTAACCTGAAAATGCACCTCAAACCACAGCCTACATGTTACCCTCTCTAAACTTGTCTGCAAAAGCAGTGAGTGGGCCCAGCGGGGCTCCAGAGGCATTGTCCCAAATATCATTTTTTCCTTTGCCCACAGACCCTCAGCATTTACTTGGTACAAAACCACTTGCAAGGATTTTCTAACTCTGCGGGGATTAATCTTTCTAGTCTGTGGTGGTACTGAGGTTGTAGCCTCCATACCAAAAAGGAGCCAAGGACACAGGCCAAGACCCACTCTAATTGGATGGAGTCACCATCCAATCAGAAACTCTTTTTGTCACGATGAGTTTTCACACTTGAAAGAGTTTAACCCAAGCCCCACAGGATTTCTAAATGGAGCGAGTATAAATCTCTGTGAGCGTGAGTTCTGATGCTGTATTCACACTCATCTCTTTCCCGGATGTGCTCAAAACAAAAACTATTTGCCACTTAATGGTCCAGTCAAAGTCTAGACTAAAATTTAATATTAAATTCTATGTTGAGACCTACATGGAATAATAACAGACTCTTTATCCAGTCTGAAAGGGTTTGGAATAAACCATAAGAGATTGGCTGTAACTGCAGCCAAAGTTTGTTTTCCAAAGATGTGACTCACGAAGCCAAAGAATTGTTTATTTGCCACATACTTTGGATTTATTCAAGGTGGGTTTTTTTTGTTTCACTTGGTTCAATTTTGTCTTATTTTTCGATTTATCAAAAACATATTCAACAGATTAATCGATTTGCCAAATAATCGTTAGTTGCTACCCTAGTGTGCCCACTTACTACAATATCACGGTGATGGTAGTGATGGTAGCGGGTTTTCCGGCGAAATGAGTCAGCTGACTGTAAATAAGAGATGACGAGGTCTGCTCATGCGATCTCTGTTATCAGAGAACCAAGCATAACTGAATCGTGCAGAGTCCTACTGTTGAAGTAGTACTAGATGTAGCACGGTTTGGTTGTGTCTGGCACCGTCTAGTTCAGCTGCGTTCCATTTACTCTCAGCAGTTATCTCGGTTATGGTTCTCGACATGGTTTCAAAAGGGTAGTTTACTGTGAACCCAAAGCACTAAGATACAAACAATGTTTATTTTTTTTGCAGGCAGAACTGGTCGCTTTATAAAGTTCTTAATCAAAAATCAATACATAAAACAATGTTTGCTAATGCAAAGTAAACCCTTTTATCATCCATCCATCATCTACTACGTTTCTGTCAGGGTCATTAGGGACTGCTGCCCATCTCCAGCAGTAAATAAGGCGTGCTACACCCTGGACAGGTGCATTGCAGCCTTTTAAGATATAACTGATTTTATGATGAAACAATACCAAGCTTAGATATAGACTTTTATTTATATATATACTACCCCTTCAATTTTTTCCCCACTAATTGAAATGTCTTTAAATCCACATTAACATGAATTCAACACACTGTAGTAAACAGATAAATGGAGGCAGAAGATGTCTTTCATCATCAATTCACTCATTCAGCGACACACAGGAGCTCTTTCAAACTGAGCACTGTTTCATTCACAACACCTGTCCCATCAACCAGGAATCAGAATCAGAGATACTTGAATAATCCTAGGATGAAATTACTTTGGTTACATGAATCCATCTGTAATAGAGTGACTATAGGACCAGTTTGATATAACTCAATTTCATACAATATATATAATTACGGGATCCCCGCTCCATCTCTCCATCAGTTTTAGGGTCCTTGACCTTGAAAACGTTGAAGACCCCTGCTGTAGAACAATCCCCACTACCAACAAACTCAATCAGTATGCACATCTGTGCTGTTATTTGCACATTTTCCCCCCGTAATAGTCAGTTTTTTATGCCAGGACATGCACACACATTGTTGTAGATTATCCTAATTATTTGCTTTTCTCTGCATCCATATATGCCAACATTGTAAACTTACCTTTTTTTTATCTCAATTTGTGTGAATCTACATAATTTGAGTCGCCTGTCACTGAGTGACAATGCAGAATATTTCTATTCTAATCTGTTGAAATGTACATCAATGTGGTTCTCTGATAAAGAGAATTGATCATCTAAATACAACAGGTCCCTCTGACCCAGTTGTCCTTCATGACATTGACAAACAGAATCTGATTAAACAAGCTTCAGTGTGATTGCTGTGTGGATATCAGTAACACCAGAGGCACATTTAAATTCCTATGACTGAGTACAAGTTGGATCAGTTAGAGAGGGCGGAAAAAGCCTTGGACTACAAGACCAAAATATCCTCCAGTTTTTTAAAAAGCCGACTTGCGCTGTAGACTCAGCTATGTCAATCTGTGGCAGGCCTTGAGCAGCGTCGGTTCTCCTAATCTGTCGGCTCTTATCAACATTAATCTTGGCGGCGTCCTGGCATGTGTTTGGCCAGACTGGGAGAATCTTACTCAAAGTAAGAATGCTGCTAGCCAACAGGCAGCAGGAGGGAAGGGCAAAAAATACGGGGAAGTTTACATGTAGAACTAAACAGATCCTCTACATTCAAACAACTGCATTAAGAGAAAACAAAAACATACTCATACTTATAACTCGCTTGTTTTGTATTTATCTTTTTTACGACAAGGTTTGCATGTTTACCACAGTTGGTTTTGGGGTCTGTTTCAAACTTCTCATTTGATGTTTTATCTTTTCCCGCAGATATGGCAGAACCCATTCAGCAGCTAAGCAGCGACAACCAAGGACGAAGTCAAAGAGAGCACATCCCATTTACCCTGCTAATGCGAAAAGAGAAGGTATCCCTTCATTTTAGCTAGGATACATTGGATCTATCTTCAGACTCTAGAACCCTTTCTTTCCAAGCTGTTATTTTCTACTTTATGTAATTAAATTAGTGACCTAGTTTAAAAGAGGTGAGGACATATCAGTAATAGGAACTGAACTGTGCCTGCATATTAAAGGTTTCTATGACAGCTCAGTCTTCTGCAGGCAGCAGTGTGTCTAATTAACAGAATACAGCTTGTTTTAAATTTCCACATTAGACAGATTTAATGATTATGTAGGTATAGTAATTTAAATAATGAAAATTCTTAATTTCTTAGCACCTCACCTTAATTTAACTGAAGCTGTAGTTTATGTATAATAAATAAAATATGCAAATCTGACAGGAAAACTAGGTGACAAAGCTTTTTGTCCATTTAAAAGCTCTGACCTAAACAGAAAATAAAATTGCTCCACCCAAGTCACGTGCAGCCGATTTGAGATATTTATTTCTAGAGAGATGGTCGTGCCACCCAAGCCTTTTAAACTCCTTAGGGGAGTGTATAAATAACAAAGCTAATTGGTTTAACTTGAATTAATTAGTTCATTAAAACTTGGCTGAGGACTCGGGTTGAACGAAGGCCAACAGTGGCATCCTATTCTTAGATCACTTCCTCAGTGCCTTTCAAAATGGACGTAATGTAGCGGCAAGAAAACCTCGACTGAAGCTCGAATGCATCCCAACAAATTAGAACACTTTTTTTTTTTTACAAACATTTAAATGTATTACAAAAAACGTATAAAAAGGGAAATAATTTTTAAGTTGTAGGGAAATCTTATTTAAATGTCAAATCATTCTGGCTTAAACATGTATATAAATGTACTCTTTATCAGAAGATATTGTAGCCTGACATAGTCCGACTCAATTCTAGTCAGAATATGAGTCTGATACTGCTCCACAGAGCTGTGATTATGGGGCGTGTTTCGAACGAACCAGGAAAAAAAAATGCCTGTGCACTCAATTGGATAGATCTACAACCAATAAGAGCAACGGAGTGTGTGACGTATGTTAAGCGAGGCATAGTTGTTGTCCACAAAAATCAAAGCGTGCAGTTTCACGCCTAGAATAAGAAGATGAGCCTTGATCGCGTTTCTCTGTTCCTCTTTTAAAATTAATTTGCTGTCGATATCTTCTAGAACAGACCTAATAGCAGAATCTACTCACCCAAACTCTCCAGCGGCAGCCATTATTGTTGTCACCCAAGCGCGCTTTGGTCACGTGGTTGATTACGTTACTCTTGATCATCTGTCCATCATCGTATAAAGCCCGCCCTGACAATTTGATTGGATCGCCTGACAGTGGGCGATAATACTCGCGCTACTATGGAGCAGAGCCAGACCGAACTTCCCCGAACTCAAACCTTGTGGGCGGGACTAAGTTCGGACTGGCACCCAGGCTAAAGATATTGTCCAAAAGTTTAGAAAATTTCTAAATTCTGAAAAAAAAATTCCTGTCTTAAAATCTGTGTTTTTTTTGTTTTGTTTTTTTATTATCTTATGCAGGCCAGTTAGTTATACGTCAGCTTGTACACCTAAATTCGTCCAGTCATATATCAACGGACATCTGTAAATCAAATTTTTTCGGTCATAGCATCTTGATTCATATGTTGCAGCTACTACAGTGAACCCTTGTTTATCGCGGGGGTTACGTTCCAAAAAAAACCCGCGATAGGCGAAATCCGTGAAGTAGAAACCTTTATTTTTTAGTGTTATTATAAAATGAAATACTCCATAAAACATTGAAATCAAGGAACAAAAACTTTTCACAGCCCCAAGCATTTGTTTAACAAATAAAAGTACTGTATAAGCGTTTGTTGTTGTTTTTTTTGTTTTTTTTTACAAATAACTACTGGACTGTACTGTAAAATAATATAGTTATAAATAAGTAATGCAGAACACAATGCATGATGCAAATCCGTGAAGCAGCGAGACCCATTGGGAACTTACTAGCACTAAGTTGCTAGCTGGTTAGCAACGATGCTTCCGAAGGAACCAGGCACAATAAAACTTGCTTGCGAACCTTCCGCCACGACAACCCTGCCCTCTTGATAAACGACCAATCACATTGACTTTATTCACTTGTGTAAAGTCGGGAGAATTCCCGAGTGGTGCAAGGGTTGGAACAGCCGCTTCCCTACAACTTTAGATTACATGATAGACCATATTATGTTCCACAAAACCAAGGGAAGAACTTCTTACTGGCCAACAGTTCACACAATCCTTTAATTCCTATAAGCCAAAAAATTAAACTGCTAAGAAGGCGGTTGTTATTGAATCCATGCATGTTAACTTAAAGATGAATGAGAGCATGAGCTAGAAAAGGTGCTTTCAGGTAAATCAACACAGTGAAACTCAGATAACAACCACAGAGAAGATTAGATTCTTGAGCCAGGGATGAAACAGCTGGATGTAATTCAATGCACCAACGCTGCCTCACATGAGAAGAATTTAAAAAATTCATTAAAATCAAATAGAAAGGACACTTTTACTATGTGTATTCTCTGTCTGCTCAGACTGGTGGTCGTAGATGGCCGTTTAAAGGAGGTTTCCTCCTGTTAAAGGTTTTCCTCTCCACTGTCACTGTACGATGCAGCAGGACATGGTGTCTTCCTTCCAGCAGAAGGAGCTCAGACAGAGCATTTACTGGATGCTTTTAAAAGGCCAACATTTCTGGATTAAAAGCACATTTTCAATGTTTCGTACATATTGTACTATCAGAGACACATCATCTAAGAGGCTGAACTTTAAGCTTTCTTTGGCTGTAAGCCATAATTTTTACAATGAACAGAAGGAAACTATCGAAAATGTTTATGTCGGCAATAAATATTTATAGTCTTTTTTTAGAATAGAATATCCGTTTATTGTCAGAAGCATGTTTTTTTCTTAGTATATGAATGTACGGTAAATTTATAGTAAAAAAGATTTTTGTAAATAATTAACAGTAAATGATCATAATCGTTCTATATGCACATATTGTGCACATTTTTTTTATCTTAATTTTTACTGGTTTGTATTTAAGAACAAATGTAGGTTAGGACTTGATTAAACAGGGATTGTTTGTGATCAAATCTTTCCTATTTGTGTGCTTTCCTTCCCAGTGTGGAGAACCGCTTTATGAGAAACGTCAATATGAAAAGGGTCACTGGGCTTGTATAACGTTGCACGAGGAAACATACGAACAGAGCATCTGCTACGGCTTCATGAGAATAATGAGATACATCTGTCAGCAGAACTCCTTAGGTGAGTCCAATCGGAAAGCAGCTTCTGATTCATTTCATTATTCTTCCGTTGTTCAGGATGTTTTGATTAGGCCATCATGGATTTCCTTTAAGATCTAATCTGCTGATCTGAATCAGCAGATTAGATTTCATTGAGGTGCTTGTTACTAGTCAAAGCAGATCATAGGAGAATTTAGCTAGTTTGAATTTAATTGGTGCATCCGTATTGACATGCCGTGACTGAAAGGGTTCTAACACTATAATGTCACAGTTTGTCGTTTTCTCATTTAGGAGACTACCTCGGTATGACGCTGCCCATAGTGACGGTAGTGCGGACAGATGAAAATCATTCAGTGATCTCCCAGGACGTCACTGTAGCCTACTACCTTCCCATAGAGCATCAGGCGCAGCCTCCACAGCCTGATGATAACGAGATTGCCATCGAGGTCTGGCCTGCCACTACCGTGTACACAAGGTTAGTAGAGGGAAAAAAGGAAATGAAAACCTGCTCTATTTAACCAATAGCTAATAACGACATGTTTTTAATCCCTACGATGTACCTTCTCCATCTACCAGGGGGTTTAGTGGTCCCACCAATGAAGTGACCATCATCAATCAAATCAACGCCATGGCCGAGCTGCTGGACTCTCCAGCTGTTTGCGTAAACGACTCGTTCATCGTAGCCGGCTACACCAACCCCGCTCACAGCAACCGTCAGAATGAAATCTGGTTCCTGGAGCGGCGCTGACCCAGCGGCATTAATCCTACCAGTGACCCTAAAGCCTCATGGACCCTTTGACACTGCCCCAGCTAGCTCAGCTACAGCCTCAGGTTCCAACATCCTTTTAAGTCACCATCCCTACCTGAAACGAATACCAGCCTAGCACAATCCAGAGCCGATAGGTTTATCAGTTTAAACAGAAGAAAAGAAAAAAAAAAGTCTGAACCTTAAAGACTTTCCTTCTTTTTAAACAGAAGCGTGCCCCCAGTGGACATGCAGCCTCACTGCACCCCTGCAGTTTGTTACATAGCCATAATAACATTCAGCCATGTTGGTTACACCGTCGTGTGATTTCGGCTTCAGCACCGCTACTTTTCTCTTTGGAATATACCAATATAACGTGGCTAAAGGTGGACAGTGACCGATAAAATGACTGAGAATCAGCAGCTTGGTTTCTGTGCCATGAACCCAACTGTGTGCTGCAGTTGGGATTGAATCAACCAGCATACCAACCACTACTGAGATTTATTATTTCAGGCACAAAATTCCTCAATGATCTCATTTATGTACCTTAAAGGATATAACAGAATTAAAGAGGAATAAACAATGTGGGACTTCAAGGCCCAGCATTGTGACAGAGACTAAAGATTTTAAATATAAGAGTTCACCATCAGCTGCTCTGTTTAGGCAGCTCAGAAATAATTAAAGTGAATATTATAGTACAAATTTATTTTAAGAATATCTTTATCTCAGTTTGCTGTTAAAGTCTTTCCTGATTTTAAAAGTATATTATTTAAAAGCGAGAAGTATCAAAGTTATAATTCTGCTTTTTTTGTTTTTTCCCCCTCATTTTGAGCCTAAATGATCTTGTTCTGTTGACAAATTCTCTTACCTGCTCAAAACAAGGGGAATGCACCTATTTCAAGAAAAAAAATGACTTATGTTTCATTTTTTGAATGGCAATTTGGTTTTTCCACCAAATTAGATTAATTGCTTAACTAAAGGTGGTGCTACACCAGGCTCCCACCTGGTTCTACCAAAAACAGAAAAAGAGTTTGTGACTCTTAGAATGACAGGATCTTGTGGATTAGAGAATCTCCCATCAGATTTATCCAGATTTTACTGGATGACCTCAATGAATGGAAACCTGACCTGATAAACAGATATCTTAATAGCATCTTCACTTATTCAGGTTGTTGTAACAAGCTGTTTGTGAAGGTTTCAGAATGCTGAAGGACGAATCTTCACTGCAAATTTAGGATAAAAAAACCAACCTTCTGTTATGACGAAGCTCCATCCTTTTCCCATTTTTTAAACTAATAAAAAAAAAAAAAAAAACACCCACATTTTTTATGTTAAGCTCCTACTATTTTTATTGCTTTTTGGTCATAGTTGATTCCAGTGCTAAAGCGGCATTTTTTTCCACTTGATCTGGTTCCACTTGATCTGGTTGGATCACTCAGATTAGAAGTTAGTGTCGTATGATCATCAGCATCTAAGAAACCTAATCCAGACTGGAACTATTGGCTACAGAAGGTGACATGGAAAAGAGAACAAATGCCTGCAAACAGAACCTGTTCCTGTGTTCGTAAATGAATGTAGAGCTCCAGGGAAATCACACTTCAGAAAACCAAATGCTAACAACAAATCTGCTAAATGACAATCAAAAACCTGAACCACACTCTGTCTTGGCTAGTAATCTAAGATGATGCATTCCTCCTGCTCCAGGACTTGTTTACTCACAAACGGAAGTATTTATAACTGTACAGTATCTTTTTGTCTATTTCTACTTACCGCTCTGTCAGTGTCAGTAAGTGTTCACTAATGTTATTGCAAACACTGCTGCTAAGTAGAAGATTAAGCCACAAAAATAAAGGTGTATTTGCTGTAATTAGAAAGCTGACTTGTTTTACACTTGGTGATGTTCTGTTTCAATTAAAGAAATGTGAGGATGGTTCTGTTCTAGATGTTAACTGGAAGTGAACCAGATCAAAATAATCACCATGTGATGGTTTTCCCTCTAGAATAGGGGGGAGGGGGTTTATGAAATGCTATGCAGGACTCTTGCTGAATGCTATTTCATTTTTGCTCAAGAAAGATCGGAGAGAATATTTTCTCATTAATACAAGGAAAACATGGCATTGCATAATTATTGTTGAATATTGCAGTGACAACTGATTAACCAAGACTTCCTTATTACCTGCTTTCATTATCATAAGGTTTATCCCTAAGAGCTACAGTATGTTGGGTGGAGGCCCTGAAAACATTTAAAGTCCAGCTATCTGCTCAAACACATTATCTACTGTTTTAAATGCCTCGTAACTGAACCGTTACAGACTACGGACTGATGTTAAACACATTAAAGCTGCAATTTAATAAATTGTGTGGTTCTAAAATGCATCAAAAGATGTGCAAAAGTAAGATATTGTGTCTGTATTGGATGAGGGCCGCTGTATTGCAAAAATATACAGTGGTCCCATTGGCATCTACATCCAAAGAGTGTATTATAGTAGCATTAATGTGCATCAAAATTGAAAAGAAAAGCTACTTTTCTCCTTTGAAGGCCTGCTTAAGCTTTGTTTTCATGCTTCTTTATGTTTGCAGCAGACTGGTATGTACCGTGAAAGTTCAACAAGTGCTACTGTGTTCTGTTCAATAAACTGTGCTGGTGTCCCATCTTTTAAAATTTGCCGTCCAACGTCTCCCTGCTTCGTCTGTCCGACACCGCTTTGTTCCAACAATGGAGCCTTTAGTTTTAGTGATGAGCATAAACAATATGCACGCTTGTGAGATGACTTTGGGAATCACACACACACGCTATGCTAAAATTAATTTCAATTATAACTTTAAATATGACTCAGATACAGAATCTGCACAGAAAGTACAGAAAACTATCATCCATATTTACAAGGAAAAGCCAGTATAGAGCAAAGTGGTGTGGATCTGTAGGATCTCTGGTAACATAAGGCTATGCTGCTTCCTTTTTAAGAGATTAAATGCAGCAAACCAAAGTCCAACTGTACTTTAAGATAAAACTACATGTGTTGTTGCAAAGTTACTGTACCATGCAGGCTTAATAAGCCTTTAAAATAGACGACAGCTATAAAAACTGGATATTTTGGTTTGAAATGTTTTGTTTTTTCCCCCAAGAATTTTAAATCGTGACACTGACTTCTATCCAAGTTACCTTCAAAACTGACCCAAAGGTAATTAACCGCAAAATTAATTAAGATCAACCTTATCACAGAAACCTCATTAGCTCCACCTTGAAGCCCAGAGTGACCTGCTGGCATAATTTCAGTGACATTAGGACTAACTGAGAAAGAGATCGGATAATGAGTCACATCATTAAAAGAAATGACATTAAAATTCAACCAAGCTGTTCTTCAGCATATACAAAGTTTGTTATTAGAGCCCTAATACAGGAGTAAAGGGATCTCCACTATTGTTAATCATTTTAAAATGTTAATGCATGAATTTCCCCACTGGTGGACACCAACAGAGTCCATAATGCTGGTAGGATGTAGAAATTCAACATAGATGTAGGACACATAGGTGAAGTAGATCCAGAGATTAGAAGAAGAGCCATTAAATGATTCAACTAAGACTTTGTGTTGCTGAGCTTGAACATTACCTGCTTTCAATATAACCTGCAGAGACGTATGAAAGGAGGAGCGAACTAAAATAACATGAGCTTTACTTATAAACCAACGCCGCAGACTGTTTAAGACCGCTAGAGAAAGGGCCGCCTGAAAAACATGTTTTGAAATATTTTTATAAAATCTGATCTCTGATCTTCAGAAATAAACATCTTTTATTTTATTTTTTTCTCTCAGGGGAATAAAATATGCTTCCATAGAAGTGGAGTGTTTCTATCCGCTTCCTTCTATCAAAGATTTTAGGTGCAGCCTGATGTATTCCAATTAGGGCTGAAACAATTAATCGGACTAATCAATTATTGAAATAGTCATCCACTAATTTAGTAATCAGTTAATGGTTAACTGGAGTATAGATGCTGTAAAATATTCCTTTAGCTGACAGAGAGACCAACTTAGAGCAGTCATATCAAAATTGTAAAAAAAAAAAAAAAAAAACACATTAAGATTTTGCATTTAAGATTGAAAAAAGGTTTTCATTCCTCAAAATGCTCCATCCTGAACTCCTCTAGTGAAAATGTTTTAGTTTCACCTGATTTAATTTAATAAATCTTTTTTAAGGAAGCTTTTGCGAACCGATTATAAATCAATTCATCGGGGGGAAAAAATCTATTAATCTGCAAAATAATCATTAGTTGCAGGGTGATATTGGACAAATTTACGATGTACACATTTGACCGCTGAAACATTTGACAAAAGTACAAGAGATTTAAAAAAAAAAAAAAAATACTGTCAATCTCTAAACTTATGGTCTTAGCCGCTCACTGCTACATCGACTATTCACAGCAGTTTAACACATTAGCAGTTTAACACATTACCAGCTTTAATTTTGTAGGGCAAAATCAAAGATCATACTAATTTTAAAAGCCTCTAACAAGCAGTTTTCTAACTACTCAATCTTGTCCTGAATTAACTATTGCCCTAGATGTTTACTGAATAAAAACTCCTTTCATCTATAATGCCTTCATCCATGCATTATCAAACACGGCGGGGAGGCACACCGAGAGAAGAACACTCAAAATGAAAGCTGATGATTAAAATTGGCCACTTACTGGAGGGCCAAAAACTAAAAAAAAAAAAAAAAAAAAACGCCTGCATGACTGCTTCATTTTTCTGCAGTTATTAAATTCTTTCTGCTTGACTGAGTAATGCTCACTGCACATCTGGCTGCTGGGGCATCTCCTTATTTGGCAACAACAACAAAAAAGTTCAGGTAAACAAGCAGGTTTAAAATAAAAGAGCTGAGTCTCTCTTTGAAAAACATGAGGAGAAAAAAAAAGTGCTGACTTCACATTATATTCCCGGCTTTATAATTTAGTAGCTAGCTGATGGGGGGGAAAAAAACATAGCTGCACATTTACAAAATAACACATAAAACAGTAAGCAAAGACAAAATGACAGCAGGTAGGCATTGTTAATAACCTAAAAATCAGTCAATCAGCACTAACAGCTTGAACACAGAGTCAAACAGGATGATGCTCTCAGGGGAAAAAAAAAATCAATCCTTTTGATATCAACTGACCTAGAAAGAACCACACAGTCAGAAGAGAGACATGTGATGTTGAGCTTTTACAACAAATGCAATCAAAAACTCCCGAAACATCCAGAAGGTGGCAGCAAAACACCTGGAGCTTGAGTTTGCAGATGGTAAAAATATTCTGCCTGTTTAGCCAGGACAGTAATGACACTGACGACTCCCCTTTACAAAGGGGTGGACCTGTTTTAGGTTCAATTTTCATGTTTTTTTGTTTGGGCTATTCTATAAGCCTGAAACTCAAACGCTACTCCAGACATTTTTAAATTGAGAAAGATTCCTGGATGGGAACAGAAAAATCTTCAAACCTGGAAAACAAAGTCCAGTGGTTTATTTATTACCTTTTTTTTTATTTGGAATGACTATGACTTAGTTGAGCACATAACATTATCAGTGACCCCTCACACCCCCGCCATGGACTGTTCTCCCTGCTAACCTCTGAAAAGAGGCTTCGCAGCATCCGATGCATGTCCAGCAGGTTCTACAATAGCTCCCCCCCCCCGCCATCAGGCAGCTGAACTGTTGAAAAAAAACTCTAAATCAAGTCTCAGACTCTGCATCACACTGATAACACCAAACCTAAGACAACAAAAAAAAATAAATAAACATTTTTTCTTTTTTTCTTTATGCCGTATTTGACCCGTATATATTTATCTTGCAATGCTCTAAACTTTCATAACGATGCGTTTTGCACCATGTATTTTCCTCCCACACTGTTTACATCTGATCACTTCTGCACTTTATGGAATGGAAATGTTCATTTCACTGCAAAGTTGTACAAAAAAAAAAGAAAAATGCATTTTGTATAAACTCTGTGTATACAAAATCCCAATAAAAGTTGTCCAAGTCTAAAGGTCTAAGAAAATCTTCACCAGCAACTAGAATGAGACAAATTCTGAAATGATTCAAACTAAGGAAATGCAACACAACTTTCCAACCATCACAGATTAAAACAATAAAAAAAAGACTTAGTTCAGGCTAACAGACGGCTTTTGCTGGATTCTTGATTCACAACTGATTATCACACACAAAACGACTGAACCTGCTGACAGATCATACCTCACTAAATCCAATTTATTCTACCCTACTCATGATGGTGATGCTTTGAAGCGTAAATAAACACCAGCAGAGCGTCTTTCTGTAAAAATTAGAGTTTTATATTAAACGTGGTCTAAGTTGTTGCCCAAGACAGCAAATCTGTATTAGTTAAATCAAGTCATAAAAGAATCACGTTGTTTCTACCTGCATGAGATGCCCCCCCAACCTTCATGTAAATCTCTCCTAGTAAGTAATCGGTTGAACAACATCATTGGTTATTTACTATGGATAGTGATGGATCTAAAATGGATAAAATGACAATTTTATCCAAAAGTTTAGTTATTTTATCTTTTAAATGTACAACTCACATTTTATAGCTTCATTACACACATTGTGTTATTAAACCCGCCATAGGTTTTGTAAACTCAACACATTTTTGATCAAAACCTTTTTTTGGTCTTGCAATAGTTAATAAAACATTAGAATTTCTAGGAAAATACACCTTGAGCCACACTTCTCAATATTAGAAGAAATGAAAACACAATGTAAACTGAATCTCTGTAGATGTTTGTGAACTTCCTCAAATAAAAAGTTCCATTGTTCACTAAAATGCATGTGTGTGGGTTTTTTAGCAACAAAAAAAGTTATGAATAATCATAATATATAAATGATGCAGTGGAACTACTTAAAAGTCTCATCGAAGGTGGGGGTTTAATGTTTGGCTCCTACCCTTTGATCACAGTCCATCACATCCACTGCAGGATTTCAATATAAAAAGTTAAAATTACCTGTTTTAATTTGGAATATTAGCCTAGTAAACTAGCTCCACCCACAAGTGGCCAAAATAATTTTTGCCTGCATGTGATCTGGCCTCGATCAATGCCCAAGGCCCTAGAATCTGCGGGCCAATCACAACGCAGAGATGTGTTTTGAATGTCTGGATGCAAAGCCGGCGGGGTTTTAAGGGCGTGACAACAAAGCTGTGCGACGCTGGAAGAAGCACAACAAGGAAGATGGCAACAACTATTGAACAGTTCTCGTTTGACTCAGCTTTTGAATCAATGTTGGAAGGATTGGACTTGGGGTTTTCGTTGCAACATGAGCAGGAAGAGGAACTACGCTCATTAATTTTTATGAAGGATGTAGGAGTGTAAATAATAATCGTTTTGTATCGATGCATCGGTCCAAAAGCCGACGATCCGATGCATCGACACGTCCGCAAGATAATCGATTCATGTTTTTTTTTTCCTCCGGTCTATTTTTATCCATTTGCTCCTGGGCGTAATTCTCCCTCCCGTGCTGCGGTGCCGCTAAACCTATTTTGCCCTCCTACCGCGCTTCCTGGTTATACTCTTACAGCAGTTTGTTGCAGCAAGCTTGACACAGACATTTTTAAATTATGCTCAGTATTGAAGCGTGGTCTGAGCTACACACTGTGGGTCTAGATACGGCCGAGGCGGTGAGGAAGTGGGGACGAGTTTAGTCCGAAGACGAAGGGACATGAGGGCCAAAAAGAGCGTAGATTCAGCTGGAAAAAGGGTCCCAGCGGTCTCGCACACCTCGCTCTTCTAGCGGGTCAAACTTCACGAGTTGTTTTCCGCAATTTCGGTCATAAAAACAAAACAAGCCGGCCTCCTGTCTGCGGCACTGTTTGCAATCAGCTACAATCTGGGAAAGGTGCAGCGTCTCTCAAGGGGGCGGTGACGTCGACACTCTGGAGCCTTCTTCTTCTTCTTCTTTTTTTTAATGGCGGTTGGCAAACAACTTATAGATGCATTACCGCCACCTTCCAGAATGGAGTATGGACCAGACAAACTATTATATTCTCCCTAAAATACCTGTTCTTCTTAGAAAATTAAAAATACTACCAAAAACTACATCCCCAGATGACCTTTGAAACAATTCCCTTATATCTAGTTTATTTTTATTCCTGTCTAACTCTCTATGCAACATCTCTCTTTCCTGAGTATATTTATTACATTCTAAAAAAATATGTTGGACAGTTTCTCTGGAGCCGAGGTATTGCATTGAACTCATTACACTGATATTGTGCAGTATTTTTTGATGCAACTTTTCTACTTCTGTTATTTGCTGTTGTTTCTAAAGAAAATGCATAATGATATTACAGCTTTCATTGATTTATTTCAAACTTGAAACTTTGTTTAGCCTGTAAGGTGTAAAAAAAATAATAATAATAAAAAAAAAATTAACCGATTAATCGATTAATCGAATCGTGGTGTATTCTTGAGTATCGAAAATAATCGAATCGTTGGGTCAGGAAATCGATACTGAATCGAATCGCCATGATGGATGTGATTTACACCCCTAGAAGGATGTATTCGCTGTTTTTACAGACAGGCGGTTAGTTTACACTTCCCCACCAACTTTCTGTTGCGCTTGCTACGTCACAGTCAGTTGCCCTCAATGGTCAGAGCATTGGTCAATAGGCACATACATCTTCTGATGTCTCGTTCATCCGGGCCAGACTAAATTACACATTTAACCTCACATTTAGTCTGGTTTATCACGCTAATTTGAACATGGTATAGTTAAAAAAAAAACTAAAATATGCGTGGCCTGTTTACGCTGAGACGTAGGAAAAAAATAAAAACACCTCTGCATTTGCCTACCTGAAGGTAGCGTCCCTGGTAAGCCGACAGTTTATCACCAAGAGGAACAACCACTTTCTCTACACTCCGCTGATGGGAATGAGCCTGGATGTCCGGGCTCTCCTCTGAACGCAGCTCAATGTGAGATATTAGTAGATTGGAGATCACAGACTGAACCGACTGTAAGAAAAAAAGAAAACGACAGGTAGGAAAGAGAGATCAGAAAGAGAGAGTTTGTGGAGGTTACTTCTGGGCATTTTACGAATACAGAGGCGTTGATTTCACCTTTGCGTCTCCTCCAGGAGTGGCACTGAGAGCCAGGATGCGGAAATGCAGGGTCTGGCTGCTCAGCTGTTTGATTACCTGAGATAGGGAAAACAACCACAACCATTAAACATTTGTTTTAAGCCCCATATACTGAAACCAGTTGCTTCCAAAAGTCGTCATATTGGTAGACGGGTTCCACCAGTGTGTAAATCAACTGCTCTGTAAATGCCTCAGAGGTTTGACGGAGAACCATAAACACATCATGGAGGAAAAAAGCTGCAGAACACAATCAGTTGGAAACAACAATGTGCTGGATACCTGACAGTAAGCATGGTTGCCCAACGCTTTGTGAGCTTCGTCAATCACTACACACTTGATCTGCTTTGCTGGACAGGTGTCTCTTGAAAGATCATTCACCATGACCTGAGGGGTGAGGAAGAAGACGCGTTTGGACCTCCACACCTCCTGCCTCTGCTTCGCTGCAGTGCTGCCTGTGAAGCCATAACGGATGACCATGTTAACAACAGCTAAAGCCCAGATTATAGGCACCATGTGGTGTTTCTGTCATTACCTGTCAGCTCCGCCATGTGTTCCTGAGGGATTCCCATTACTTTATAACAGGCCTCTATCTGCTGCGCCACCAGAGGTTTGGTAGGAGCCATAAACACAATCTTTCCTGCTGGATACCAGCGATAGAAGTTGTACATAACCACAGAGGCTATGAATGTCTTCCCCAAACCAGTTGGTAGACACACCAGGGTGTTCTGAAACAGGGAAGCCTCTGATATCTTCAGCTGATAATCCCTGATGGGATAGTTGGTAGGATAGATCCATACTTCAGCAGAGGAGCTGTCAAAGCCTGGGAAATCTGGATGTATTCTCCCACAGGATTGGGTAGAAAGAGGAGCTAGGTTTTGTCCTGTTGCATGATTATTATGAAAACTGTTGGCGTTCTCAAGCTGGAGACTCTTCTCAGCTTCATAGACAGCTACCACCATCAAGTCATCATCCTCATCATCATCAGAGATGAAGTATTCCACTCCAGCTTGTCTCTCTGCTTCATATGTGCTATTCCTGCCAATTTCTGTCCATGGAGCATTCTGATGAGGAGGAAGAGGAGGGTTTACTGCAGCTACCTGAGCTCTGCTGCTGCTGCTTGAGGTTGACCTGTTCGCTCCGGAGGTCTTTCCAACATTTTTCCCCGCATGGACCGTTTTGTTCTGAGATACAGAAGCTCCCCACGTCTGGAACAAAGTTCTCTGATTTGAACCACCACTCATCTTTATCAGCCGTGGCGCAAAACTTTAGGAAAGTGCCATGTGGCTAGCAGCAGCATCGCAGCCCGAACACAAACAAAAAATTACTTCCGCCGGCTTGTTTTTCAAAATAAAACAACCAGATGACAGCTACACGTTTCACTTTTTGAATGTACCTCAGCCTTTTAACATATTTAACAAACTTTGAAACTATTATTATTTCTGTTAGTTTATAAACCACCTACGCCTAGAGCATTTTTGTAATATATACATACACTTTTAATGTTAAAGATACAGACCGGAAATAAGCATTACAATTTACGTTACCTCCCGCTCTCTGCTGTCATGTTTCCATAACGATGGACAGAGGCAAATGGGACGAAATAATCACACGTTTTCAGGTAACACACGCACACTCCAGTGAAGCTGAAAGTTGTTTTCTTTACCCGAAGATCGACTTTTGTCGTTATTGCGGTTGCCCGCTCCTTAAGGACGTTGCTAGCTGTTAGCGCAGGTGTAGCCTGTTTTGATGCTAACTGTATTATCGAATCTCTGTAGGCGCGTGCGCGCGGTTACCTCACGAGAACCGAAGTGCGGCACGCGCGTGAGGACTTTGAGGAGATCGTAAGAGAGATAGAAGGAGGGGTGAGCCATTTAAGGTGGACTGATGCGACCCTCTCCGCCCCACACTTTACAGACACGGTAAGTAACTTTAGTATGGACCAGAATCCTGTGTCTTTTAAAAAGCCTGAAATGAATTAAAAAATGAAATATCTCAATCCAGTTTTCCCTTTCTCATTACCAAGCAGGGGCGAAGCTAGATGGGGGGCCAGGGGTGGCCATGGCCACCCTTAGCCAATCATTGGACACCCCTACCATTTATTTCCCTCTAATACAGATGGTGGCAACAGTAATAATCTTAAATGAAATATTCAAAACATTTACATTTTTCATATATTAACAATTGCTTGACACAAAAACACTGTGATTATTAAGCACATCAATATACTAACATTAAAGATGATAAGTACAGAATTCAAGCAGAAATAGATTTTATGTTTTATGGTATAAAGAGAAAATGATGAGGAGTCTTCAGTGAAATCATAAATAACTATTTTAATAAAAACATATTAAATAATCAATTTATGTTGATATTAGTGCTCGTAAATATCAATTTTATGCTGAATGATAATTGATAAAAGTAGGTAAGTAATGACGATGGAAAAGATGTTCGTCCAAAACTCAAACCTTAAAGAATTTTGTCCACTATACCTTTTATTTAGAAAGCACGGATGTTTGAATATATTTGTCTATTTGTTAGCAAAGGCTGTGGGAAAGTATGGTTTGTCTTTATTTAGAAAATATGGGTGTTTTGCTTGGTAATTTTCCTTTTGGAACAGTGAAGACTGACCGTGAGGTTTTGGTGCCTATCTACTTTCGGCCACCCCTCATCCTACATTGGTTATTACCTGGCCACCCTTATAAAAATTTTCTAGCTACGCCTCTGGTGCTTGGGATTTTCAAATAATCAAGTGCGTACTCCCTCAAAAGCAAGTTCACCATCTGTTCTCCAATTTTATTTCCATAGCTACTCTTTAATGAAACAAAAAAGGAAAGAAACACTGACCACTGCAGCTGTCAATACCTTTTCAGCACCATCATCCCTGCCTCGTACAGGACAGGCTCTCCTAGCTGAGTGCTCCTAACTCCACCTGCAGGTGAATGACAGTAGGGCTGCAACAACGAATCGATAAAATCGATAAAAATCGACTTTTAAAAGCGTTGGCAACGAATTTAATCATCGATTAGTTGTGTCGCGCGATTAATGCGTCATCCGCCGCCGCCGTCATCCCGGGGAAGAAAAAAAAATATGGCGGAGCGAGTCAGCGCCGCAGTTGCAGTGTTGCCAACTCAGCGACTTTTCAGACCCCTCCAGCGACTATTTTTTTAAAAAGCGACTAGCGACAAATCTGGCGACTTTTTACGGTGTCACTGGCGGCTTTTGGAGACTCTTACGTGAAAGCATGTATCGTTCCTACTCTTGTTCTCCAGCGGCAGCTGCTGCCGTGGGGCGCCTCCCCCATCCCAACGCCTTTCTCCCTCTCCCACAAGAATCCCTCTCAGCGCTGCAGTCCGAGCCGCAGGATTTTAGTGAGGAGTTTACCCTCAGCGTCCAGACTGCAAATGAAACGCGCATGCCCCGGGATTGACGGCGCAAATTGATCACAATAATTAAAATAGCCTTTGTAAAGTGAAAAAAGTCGTAACATGCAACTTTTGTAAAGACAAATAAACATGGCACGGAAGCACCACTGTTATGACGCAGCACCTGAAAAGAAAACATGTTGGAGCCTTCGATGGCAGTGAAGAGAGCTGATCAGCAGGATGAGTAACCATGTTTGTTTCATTTTAAAGTGGGGAAACGTAACGTTAGTTTCTCAGGTAGCTCATCTGATGCTTTCCTTAGCTTGTTAGTAGGTTACAGACAGTGATAAGGTTGGCTACTTATTTTACTTTTAATTTCATTTGAATTAGCTTAAGCAGCGTTTATATTTTCTTTATAAATAAATTAACTTGCAAATTATGAGGGCAAGGCTTTTAAAGTTTAAATCTTCTGGCAAAGATAAAGTAAAGAAGATCCTGCAATTTATGGAAGTAAAGCAGAATAAAATCCAGCAAGATCAGTAATATGTCAATTAATTATCTGCCACATTCCCATGTAAATATCTGTCTTTGGAGGATGTGTTTTTTAGCACCCCTACTTCTCTCATTTTTATTCCAAATACAATTTATAATTTGAATCACAGGGCTATTTTTATCTCTATGGTTCAGTATTTTCTCAAGTAGCAACTTTAACTGCTATACTTTCCTGTCTTAAAAGGCAGAACTCTTCTAGTCTAAAAAAACCTCATTTGTTGAAATGGGGGGGGCCTATTGTTTGAACCCCTTAGGGGCTTTAAAAAACAAAAATGTCTCTTTTTGCGCTTTATGAAACAAAGTAGCCTATATTTTGTGGATGTACAGCTACATTTCTCATGTAAGTTTGCGTAGTTTTAAAACAAACATTTAATTTTTCATATAGCACCAGTACAGTTAATGAGCAACCTGTACTTGTGTGCTTGTTTGTTCTGTCTAAAATGTTTATTTTGGAATAAAGAGGTTAATATAAAAAAAATATTTTGTGTCCGATTCATCGATTAATCGAAAAAATAATCGGCCGATTCATCGATTTTCAAAATAATCGTTAGTTGCAGCCCTACTTGATATGGAAGACATTCTCAGAAGAACCAATGCTGCAAATAGTAGAAACTTCTAGCTCAAACTTGGAGCATTACTAAAAAATTTACATATTTACATTAGGAATTAAACCCAACGCAGTTACATTAATCATGTATGATTTATTTAACATGACCTGACCAAATCAACTCAAACCACAGAGCAGGCTGTGTAAATAAAGTGGCAACAAACACACTGAATAGTGCACACATGTTTGGGATTATTACCTCACTAAACTGTTTGCGTGAGGGTATAACGTAGCGTGGCTCCAGTGTCTTCATAAGGCCACGGAAACCGCGCAGTATGGTTGTAAGTCTTTGCAGATGTATGTAGCGATAGCCTTAGTTATTTTCTGGGCACGCAGGGAGTTTGCTGGTAACTTGATATCAAATGCCTTCTCGAGCTGCACTTGCCTCAGGGCTGAATCAGATTTCGTTTGTGCTGAGTGGTGTCTCGTTAAATGGTTTCGAAGATTAGTTGTGTTTCCACATTACCTCACTTCTGCGTAGCAAATCTTGCAAACCGTTTTGCTCTTATCCAGTTCACTGCTGTCATTTTGTTTTTTAAATCCAAAATATTTCCAGACATCTGCCTTCAAACTTCTTGGCAATGATTTCAGAGCATCCGCCATATTGTTTTGGTGCGCTCCTCTCGCGCAGTGACGAGATCTCGCGGGGCGCGAGAAGTCATGAATGTATGGAAAGACGTATTATAATGGATCGATTTATGGTTTTTATGAATCGATATCGGGCTATTGAAAGGGAAATCGATTCAAATCGATTAAATCGATTTTTTAACCCAGCCCTAGTTATTACATCATGTTCTACTCACCCATATAAGTTGTGTGTCATTTGGAGCCGTTCTAAAGATATTCCGTTTTGTTATATCCAAGTAACGTCTTCCTATGAGCAGTCGACTTGAAGGCACAAACTAAACTGTTCATAATTTATTCTTTATGGTACGCCAGCATTCATAACATAGGCGAATCACTGTCTCCCAGACATCCGCGGTTATATTTTTTATATTTATATGTAGGGCTGCAACAACGAATCGATAAAATCGATAAAAATCGACTTTTAAAAGCGTTGGCAACGAATTTAATCATCGATTAGTTGTGTCGCGCGATTAATGCGTCATCCGCCGCCGCCGTCATCCCGGGGAAGAAAAAAAAATATGGCGGAGCGAGTCAGCGCCGCAGTTGCAGTGTTGCCAACTCAGCGACTTTTCAGACCCCTCCAGCGACTATTTTTTTAAAAAGCGACTAGCGACAAATCTGGCGACTTTTTACGGTGTCACTGGCGGCTTTTGGAGACTCTTACCTGAAAGCATGTATCGTTCCTACTCTTGTCCTCCAGCGGCAGCTGCTGCCGTGGGGCGCCTCCCCCATCCCAACGCCTTTCTCCCTCTCCCACAAGAATCCCTCTCAGCGCTGCAGTCCGAGCCGCAGGATTTTAGTGAGGAGTTTACCCTCAGCGTCCAGACTGCAAATGAAGCGTGCATGCCCCGGGATTGACGGCGCAAATTGATCACAATAATTAAAATAGCCTGCGCTTTGTAAAGTGAAAAAAGTCGTAACATGCAACTTTTGTAAAAACAAATAAACATGGCACGGAAGCACCACTGTTATGACGCAGCACCTGAAAAGAAAATATGTTGGAGCCTTCGATGGCAGTGAAGATAGCTGATCAGCAGGATGAGTAACCATGTTTGTTTCATTTTAAAGTGGGGAAACGTAAGTTAGTTTCTCAGGTAGCTCATCTGATGCTTTCCTTAGCTTGTTAGTAGGTTACAGACAGTGATAAGGTTGGCTACTTATTTTACTTTTAATTTCATTTGAATTAACTTAAGCAGCGTTTATATTTTCTTTATAAATAAATTAACTTGCAAATTATGAGGGCAAGGCTTTTAAAGTTTAAATCTTCTGGCAAAGATAAAGTAAAGAAGATCCTGCAATTTATGGAAGTAAAGCAGAATAAAATCCAGCAAGATCAGTAATATGTCAATTAATTATATGCCACATTCCCATGTAAATATCTGTCTTTGGAGGATGTGTTTTTTAGCACCCCTAGTTCTCTCATTTTTATTCCAAATACAATTTATAATTTGAATCACAGGGCTATTTTTATCTCTATGGTTCAGGATTTTCTCAAGTAGCAACTTTAACTGCTATACTTTCCTGTCTTAAAAGGCAGAACTCTTCTAGTCTAAAAAAACCTCATTTGTTGAAATGGGGGGGCCTATTGTTTGAACCCCTTAGGGGCTTTAAAAAACAAAAATGCCTGTCTCTTTTTGCGCTTTATGAAACAAAGTAGCCTATATTTTGTGGATGTACAGCTACATTTCTCATGTAAGTTTGCGTAGTTTTAAAACAAACATTTAATTTTTCATATAGCACCAGTACAGTTAATGAGCAACCTGTACTTGTGTGCTTGTTTGTTCTGTCTAAAATGTTTATTTTGGAATAAAGAGGTTAATATAAAAAAAATATTTTGTGTCCGATTCATCGATTAATCGAAAAAATAATCGGCCGATTCATCGATTTTCAAAATAATCGTTAGTTGCAGCCCTAAATGACAGACTTCCTGACGGGAAGCAGGAGAAAACAGGTGTCTGATTTCAGGATTATCAGCACCAGCTCCGATCAAGGCTGCATTCTCTCCCCTTTTCTCTTCTTACTGTAGGCCAGGGGTAACCAATTAAAAATCAGCGGGGTCCGAATAAAGAAAATAAACAACCAGTAAAGGTCTTGAGACAAATTTATTATACTCTGTTACTTTAAACAGAATTTAACACTGAAATAAAATTAGTTTTTTATGTATCGATGTTATACACTGACTTTTTAAATTAAAAAATATTTAAAAAAAGAAATTTTTTCCATTTTAAAATCTAAAGTGTTTTTATAAAATACCTGAACTGACCATTTTTTCTTTCTTTTTTCTGGCTTAATGAGAGCAGTGGGCTTTAGGCTGCCCTGCAAGGCTTTAAACCTGGGTTTGAATTAGGGCTGCAACAACGAATCGATAAAATCGATAAAAATCGACTTTTAAAAGCGTTGGCAACGAATTTAATCATCGATTAGTTGTGTCGCGCGATTAATGCGTCATCCGCCGCCGCCGTCATCCCGGGGAAGAAAAAAAAATATGGCGGAGCGAGTCAGCGCCGCAGTTGTGTTGCCAACTCAGCGACTTTTTAGACCCCTCCAGCGACTATTTTTTTAAAAAGCGACTAGCGACAAATCTGGCGACTTTTTACGGTGTCACTGGCGGCTTTTGGAGACTCTTACGTGAAAGCATGTATCGTTCCTGCTCTTGTCCTCCAGCGGCAGCTGCTGCTGTGGGGCACCTCCCCCATCCCAACCCCGTTCTCCCTCTCCCACAGGAATCCCTCTCAGTGCTGCAGTCCGAGCCGCGGGATTTTAGTGAGGAGTTTACCCTCAGCGTCCAGACTGCAAATGAAGCGCGCATGCCCCGGGATTGACGGCGCAAATTGATCACAATAATTAAAATAGCCTGCGCTTTGTAAAGTGAAAAAAGTCGTAACATGCAACTTTTGTAAAAAACAAATGAGCATGGCACGGAAGCACCACTGTTATGACGCAGCACCTGAAAAGAAAACACGTTGGAGCCTTCAATGGCAGTGAAGATAGCTGATCAGCAGGATGAGTAACCATGTTTGTTTGGTTTTAAAGTGGGGAAACGTAAGTTAGTTTCTCAGGTAGCTCATCTGATGCTTTCCTTAGCTTGTTAGTAGGTTACAGACAGTGATAAGGTTGGCTTCTTATTTTACTTTTAATTTCATTTGAATTAGCTTAAGCAGCGTTTATATTTTCTTTATAAATAAATTAATTTGCAAATTATGAGGGCAAGGCTTTTAAAGTTTAAATCTTCTGGCAAAGAAAGTAAAGAAGATCCTGCAATTTATGGAAGTAAAGCAGAATAAAATCCAGCAAGATCAGTAATATGTCAAATAATTATCTGCCACATTCCCATGTAAATATCTGTCTTTGGAGGATGTGTTTTTTAGCACCCCTAGTTCTCTCATTTTTATTCCAAATACAATTTATAATTTGAATCACAGGGCTATTTTTATTTCTATGGTTCAGTATTTTCTCAAGTAGCATCTTTAACTGCTATACTTTCCTGTCTTAAAAGGCAGAACTCTTCTAGTCTAAAAAAACCTCATTTGTTGAAATGGGGGGGCCTATTGTTTGAACCCCTTAGGGGCTTTAAAAAACAAAAATGCCTGTCTCTTTTTGCGCTTTATGAAACAAAGTACCCTATATTTTGTGGATGTACAGCTACATTTCTCATGTAAGTTTGCATAGTTTTAACACAAACATTTATTTTTCATATTGCACCAGTACAGTTAATGAGCAACCTGTACTTGTGTGCTTGTTTGTTCTGTCTAAAATGTTTATTTTGGAATAAAGAGGTTAATATAAAAAAAATATTTTGTGTCCGATTCATCGATTAATCGAAAAAATAATCGTCCGATTCATCGATTTTCAAAATAATCGTTAGTTGCAGCCCTAGTTTGAATGAAGACTAAGCCATTCTCAAGCACATATCATGGTGCTCATTTTGAGCCTGGATCGATATTAATTTTTGATAATGTACATGGTGGAGAATACTGTTTCACAGCAGTAGGTTGAGCCAAACATACTCAAAATGTGCAGGGTCATCCTTGGGCACGCCATTTCACTTTTCTTTCATCAGTTCACTGCGGTTCTACCAGCAGTCCACACCTTTTTTCATTTTTTTCTCATTGTCTTCTCCTTCTTTCCCATCGTCCGGCTTGCCACAGGTTTGCCTGCTGTGTCTATAAGTAGCTAGCAGCAGCAACCCAGACTGACACAGCTTATTGACTAATTGGCATCATGTGCAGCCTGGTACCGGAGCGCTTCGCCGTACAAATAGGAGAAGCAGCGCAAGTGAAATTAGACACTGCCGTCGCACAACATACAGTAATTTATAAATGTTTGAAATCAGATTGGGTCTGGATTACCGAGCAGGTGGGTCCGGATCCAGACCACGGTCCGCTAATCCCTGACCTCTGCTGTAGGCTAATCCTACTCTAGTCCAGGGGTCTTCAACGTTATCCAGGCCATGACCCCCCAACTGATGGCGAGAAGGAGCCGGGACCCCCTAATTATATATATGGCAGAAAATAGTGTTCTATCAAACTGCTCCTAAAGTCACTCTATTACAGATGAAGTCATGTCACAAAAGTAATTTCGCTGTGGGATTATTAAAGTATTTCTGATTCTGATTCCTCATTGATGGGATGTTTTGAATGAAAAGGTGCCCAGCTTAAAAATGCTACTGAGTGTCACTGAATGTGTGCATTGATGACTGAAAGACATCTTCTGCCTCCATTTATCTGTTTACTACAGTGTATTAAAGACATTTCAATTAGTGGAAAAAATTCTAGTTCTAATATCAAAAAAGTACCACCGTGGAGCCCTAGGGGTCGCGGACCCCCTGTTGACGAACTCCGCTCTAGGCTGTAATGCTCTGCAGGAAAGTTTTAGCTGACCCCTCCCACAGCGGACACAGTTACAGACTCTTCTCTCTCCCAGGAAGTGTGGTCCATCAGGACCAAACCTCTGGCCTCAAAAAACAGCTTCTTCTTTACTTGCTCCTAGCCTCAGTTTCTTTCCTCTTTTCTTATTTCCTCATACAACTTACATCTTTTTAGAATTCACACTATATGTTTTTTTTTTACCTGTACTCAGAGGTGGATAATCCAGGTTAAGTTATCAAAAATCCTGTATAGAGATCTGTTCCAGTCAATTGCATTTCCAGCTCAACAGCATAGTGACTGCTTAGATGCAATTCAAAGAGATTCAGCCAAAAAAAAAGAGTGTTTAAAAGACTTTTCTCCATTTACTGACAGAGTGGATCATGGCTTCAACCTCCCAGCCGTCTACTCAAGACAACAGGTCCTGAACTAGATGTCAGTACTCTCCAGATTTCAGATCCCCCACCTGAAAAGGGACAGGATCACTGTATCCAGCCAGAGAGGCCAACAACAGAAAGCGCGGATTGCTCCAGCATCCCAGTGAGAGGGGATGTAGAGGAGCAGGGATGGACGGTTGAAGGAGGGGAGACAAAGAGAACAGGGAGATCCTCCACCATCTGGAGCAGCCCCGAGCAGGACATTGGTGTTTATCCTCAGAGAGGTACATGGTTCAACATGCACAGTATTTTATGTCTATTCACTCCCAAATTAAAGGCTTCTGCAGTTGTTTTTGCTGTAAACATTAAATAATGAAAAGCATTGAACTCTGTCAGTTGTGATGAATATAATTTTTAATATAATTTTGTTAAGTGAAATGAACAGAGAGAACTGACTCTAGGAACATAACAGCCAAAACAACACAACCTTTATGACGGAGAAATTGTACAAACTGATATTGTGACGGTGGTGTATAAAGTACACACATTTGTTACTAAAGTAGAAGTATAGATACTGCAGTTTAAAAACACTCTGGTAAAAGTTGAAGTATCAACTTGACCTCTTTACTCACGTAAAAGTGAAAAAGTATGTGCTCCAAAAACTATTTAAAGAATAAAAGTATAAAGTAACATTTAAAAAAAACAGCCAGATGCCACTATATAAATTGAAAGCTCAATTTTTCGACTATTTCGAAAGATTCTTTGAGATAGATGGAGAGATAGGATGAGGGAGGTCTTGTTGGTCTCCATCTCCCGAGACACTCTCGCCTGTGTCCAACCTTTCAGACATTTCAACATCTTTTTCTGAATCCGACATCGTAGCATGGTATAGACAATTCACGTTTGCAGTTTGATGAACACCTGCTTGCTTCTGATGATTTCCTTTAGCTAACCAATGAGTGTTTGCGTTCTATGACTCATCCAATGACACTAGTTTTCACTAGATGTGGATGGAGTCAATGATCTGCATTGGATGGCCACATGACGTGAAATAAATAATTAGAAACATTAAACCAAAGCCAAGAGTAACGAGTGACGTTTGTTTTAAAAATGTAAGAATAGAAAATACAGATTCTTATGTGAAAATGTAATGAGAAGAAGTCAGAGGAAAAATAAGTCATGGAGTAAAGTATAGATACCTAAAAAGTTTACTTAAGTACAGTAACAAAGTATTTGTACTTCGTTACTTGACATCTCTGTATTGTGATGATAAAATATTAGAGATTAACTGTGTTGTATTGCTGCCATGTTTCCCATTGTCCTGCAGCTCAAATTAGGTTTTCAATTTCCTCTGCTTTGTCATCACATGGCAGTAGATCACTTGTAATTGTGCGGTTGTTAAATGTGCCCCTTATAATCAAATGACACTCAGAATACAACTACCTGAAAAAGAGCTCAGAGTTTTTATATTTAATAAGTGTATAAATATATATAAACTAAAGCTTTTTTTCTTTTTGTAATTTTGAGTTTGTGATCCTTGACTCAGGTCTTCAGCAGTACTGCCTGGCACAGAATGTGCCCCGTACTCCACAAGCTCTGCGTCTCCACAGAAACACTCTGACCATGGAGCTGGTCTGGATCCAGCAAGCTATCGACAGCAGGAAAAAGGTAAATCTTTGACTTGGAGTGATGTTTCTAAAAGCCTTTCTAATTTTCTATTTTGGCATCTTATAACATTTCTAGGATCCGCCTTGTAAAACAGAAAACTGTCAATGCTGAAACATGCAAATGTTTCAGTATTTTCTTCTCAGGAGATAAACAACAGGGATGTCAGGAATCCTAACTAAAAGGTCAATGTTTCATAGAATCTATTGAATAGAACTGAAAAGTTATATCTATGTTTCAGTGCACAAGAAAAACTTAAGAAAACTTCAGCCTTTTAACATTTTTCCACTAAAGGGTTGAAAGAGGGGGGGGGGGGGGGGGGGTCTTTTTTTCTGGATACTGTAAGGCCCCGTCCACACGAAGAAGAACCCTGGCCTAAACGCACAAATTTTTCACCAAACCAGCCTCTCATCCACACGAAGCCGGCGTTTCGGGGGTCTGTAAACAATCTTTTTTTTTATTCAGCCTTCAGAGTGGGAAGATTCTGAAACGCCGTTTTCGCGTTTCCATCTTTACGCTCTAACCGCATATTTTCTTTTACACGCCTGCGTCATAGCGTCGCCTCTAAACACGCATGCGCGACACATCACAACAACAATGGCGCCGTTGCTGCTAATGCTACTCACCCTGCTGTCGGGCTTACAACAGAATCTTCTTCTTCTGGAATATCTCCAGGAAGAACAGAGCAATATCGACGACATAGTTCAGCACCTGAATTTGACTTAACCACGAAAATGGACCCGCAGGGCAATTAGTGCACATGCCCAACATTTCGTCGCTTATTTTTGCTTTGGCACCACAGCGCCACTTACAGGCCTGGCATACATTTTGCAGCATTTTCATGCATTCGTGTGGACGCTCACATTTATTTTACGTCTCCGTCTTTACGGCAAACGTTTTGGAAAATATCAGCGTTTCGTGTTCGTTTTGATTTCGTGTGGACGGGGCCTAAGACTACAAATTGCAACAAAATTGGTATAACATCAGTTATTATCATCCCAATTTTAGAATCATCTTTTAAAAAATGACTCACATTGATTGATTTATATGTAAATGCTGAAATATTTTTTTTTACATGTAGTTTTATTTTATTTTCATTAATGGCCCCTCTCCAAAAACTTCCCCGAACTTGAGATGCCTTTCCTGGAACATTTATGGATTATTTTCCTAGAACTTCCACCATACTTTCCTAGAACTTTTGAAGAAGTAAAAAGTGCTTTGCTAGAATTTCAATGCTACTTTGATTTTTCTTCTCTGTTTCACTTGTTTGATGAGTTTAAGAGTGCAACCAGTAAAGGAAAGTATCAATTCAGTTTCAAGAAAGTGTCCAAAAGTATACAGCAAGATCTTCAAAGAGCTTGAGAAAGCTCCTTGAAGGATTTTGCTAAATTCCAAGGAGAGAAATCAAGACATTTTTGCCCCAGGGCAGCAAAAAAAAAAGTATTTTTACATGACACCATGTAAAAATACTTATAAATGTAATTTGTCCTTGAGCCAAACTGACACACAGACTAGAAGGGAGCAGAGTAAACATCTCTGAGACAAACTTATTGATGTAGAACAAAGATGAGCTCGATATTTTACTGAATATTTGATTTGTGTTGTGTTTTTAGTACAGTTTTATTCATTTTGTTTTAAAAAAAAATTTTTTTCTTTTCTTTCCTTCTGCGACAGGTCATTTTTGCATTATAGTTTTACTGTAAACAAACTGCACAGGAGTTCATTTATTATTTTTATGATGCTACAAATAAGAGGAAAAAAAAGCCCTCCAGAGTGGCAATGAGTTTATAGTGGGTGTGTATTTGATCTGATCATCTGATGAGTGATGGCAGCAAACGAAATCATTGGCAAAAATAGAGGGCCCCAATATCGAATAATGCTTAGGGCCTCATAGATGTTTGGGCCGGCCCTGGTTTTGATGACATTCTTTAGCTCTGTATCCAAACACCAAGGATAAGCTCCTTATTACTGCTAATATAAGTTGATATCTGCATAACACAGGCAAAGTTTTAATGTGTCTTCTGATGCCACCTCCTTTCCAGTACCTTTCCCTGAGGAACAGACTGAGTGTATCCTGATGGTTAACCTAATGTGAACAGGACGTAACAATGTGGGACTGTTGATGCCGGATTCACTAGAATGTCATCTGTGTTGAAATTTATTGTAAGTAGTATTTATGATGTCATATATGGAAATTTTTGCACTGATAGACTTGTATGGTTTTGATATTGTGAAAACAAATAAATGATATTTTTCCACAAATAAAAGTCTGAGTGTTTATATTGATATTTTGTTGAGTTTTAAAGCAAATCTTTGAATTAAAACAGTTCCATGGTGGGTCAGAACCTCATATCCCCAAACTGGATCTAATTCAATGTTTTTTTTTGTTGTTTTTTGTTTGTTAAAATTTGTCTTATCCTGTAAAATGCTCTTTTAGGTTCCTCCTTTTTGGATAATCAGTTAAACAAGGTTCACATCCCCATTTGGGCTTTTAATGGTTCCCACATGGATTGGCTTTACTAAAATCAAATGCCATGGATTTTCACCATTAGAGTTGGTTGTACTAGTTTAAGTTTTTTATTTTTTTCCTGACCAACCAAGTCTAAATCAAACAAATTAATGTGCTTCTATTAAAATGTTTCCTGTCCCATTTTAGTTTTGACAGCTGTTCTGGATAACTATTGAAGCTAGACCAGTAGAGAAGTTGGTCAATACTTTTGGCCGTGTTTTTTCTCTATCTTTATTGGCTGCTGTTTCTATGCTTTTTAGTGCATTCAGCATATATGTCTTGAGATGACATGAAGATCAAGCGTTACCATTTCCTACATTCGTTGTCCATTTTTATTGTTTAAAATAATGTGTTGATAAATGTTTTTTGTTTAAATTAAGACTTGAGAAATTCTGTCACATTTTCGTCATTTTTTTCATTTAATTAAGTTGGAGGTGTATCTGCTCCAAGACTCGACCCAAAAATACAAGCTGCACCTATCTGGGATTGGTTAGACAGATAAAAAAATAAATAGCCTTAAGAAAAGAATTGGTATCAGTCCATTAGAAGACTCAATCATGTCTAAGTTTCTGGTTTGAGGGACTTTTTTTCCTTCATTATTTCACCCACTCTTCTGAACAGCCCTCAGCATCATCCTTCCATTACTGTACTCCACAGGTGGTGACCAAACAACTCAATATTTGTCGTTTTTTTTGTTTGTTTTTTTAACCATGAATCTCTTCTCCGTGAGACTTTGTTGATTTCAAATCATGGGCTTCAAGAACAGCAGCCTCCCAAGACCTCAATACCTGGTAACATTAACCTGGCTTTAGTGTGAACTGAAAAGCTGGTTTTCTACTAGTTTCTAGTTTATTATAAACTTAAGACTTAGTTATTCCTGTGTATCTTATGAACATCAGACCCAATGTCATTTACATTGAGGGGGGGCATTTGAGTCACAGTTGAAACCTTGATAAAAAACAGGTGCTCCAATTGAAAAATGATCCCAAACAAAACCTTAGAAGGTTGTTTATGTCATTTCCATGCATTTGACTAAATACCCTTCAGTAAATATTAGTGGGGCCTCATGTATCCAACCATATTTGATCATTTAGAACATCGCTGAAGTTATTTTTAGGAAGATACGTTTTTTTGAAAGGTACTTTTCATTTGCAAATTAGTCTCATTGGAACACACATATATTGATTATAACTGCATATTTGAGCCTACGTGAATCATTTAGATCCAGTTTGAGATAGAAAGTAATTATTTGTGTTTTTCCAAATAATTGAAGCGGTATATTTTATAATTAACCTGCCATGGAAGAAAAGTGGTTCAAAACATTAACGGCCCCCATTAATGTAATTAATGCTGGAGGCGATGAGATCTAAACTGAGCTGTAGGTCTAATAAATTGAACAAAACTACTTTTACTGTTGTTAATTTTGGGACATTAAAATGTTCTCAGTAACATCTCACTGGCATTTTTGCAAAAACACATGTGCAGGTGTAGAGGTTTATCTTATTGATTCAGCCCACAGCACAGAGACCCAACCCCTTCTCCCTCCTCTGTCACACAGCTTTGTTGTGGTTTCCGTCGATGGTTTGGCCCACAAAGCCAGTCCTTGCTGGCCCTGCTGCCATAGCAACCAGGAAATACTCACCGCCGTCAAAGTAGTAGTAGTGTCCGTGAGAGAGGGGGGCAGAGAACAGAGCAGAGCGTGGGGAGCTGGAGTCTAGACGGACCCCAAGAGCAGAAGGGATCGATTTCCACATTCGGCTGTGCTGAACCTAACCCTCCTGTAGGTCTGTGTGTGAAAAGTGTCTGTGCTGCACTTAGAAAATAGATCAGAGATCCTATGTATGCAAAGATGTGTAGTTGTTGAGCAAATATGCCTTAAAGAATCATATGTGGTGTTTAGTGATATAGTCTTTATGTGTGGAAAAATAAGTGTGTGGATGTGCTTGTAGCTCGGAGATGGCATCCAGCACTGCAGTTCCATCTCACCTGCCTCCAGTCAAGAACGTAGTGGTGTTCAGGAATGGAGACCCCTTCTACAGCGGACGTAGGTTTGTGGTCAACCAACGTCAGGTGGCCACCATGGAGGCCTTCCTGAACGAGGTGACCCAGAGCATCGGGGCTCCGCTTGCTGTCAGGAATCTTTACACCCCAAAGCAGGGCCACAGGGTCACGGACCTGCAGGACCTCAAACCAGGAGCCCAGTATGTCGCAGCCGGCTTTGAGAGGTTCAAGAAACTGGAGTGAGTACATGTTATTTATTATTCAACCTTCTGTTAGTCTAAAAGATCAATCTACTTGATTGAATACTAGATTAATAATAGCCAAAAACTATCATTGTATCATATGATCTGTCTTTATACAGTTATTTGCATGCAGGGTTAAAAAAGCAAGCTGGAAGTCGTCATGATCCACAGGTAGGCTCCTTATTTCTACCGTGGCCTCCTGCATCGTCCATCATTCATTAACCCACTCTAACAGAGGATTGCACCACTGGGCTGCAGGGTGAAGAAAACACATGAATGTAATCCATACATAAAACAAAGTCAGCACAAAATAATTTGTGGATAAATGTATAACTGCTGAAGTGGCGCATAGGAGAAAAAAAAAAAAAACGGTTCTATAAATGTGTTCGTACATAAAAGAAGTTGTTTAGGTAATAATGCCCTGACAGTTCTGGTCTAATCTGAGTGACTATATTCTCCCAGTATTTGGCTGATGCGAACTAAACATTAAACTTCTATGTGTTTTCTTTTCAGCAGTGGAGTGAAGTGCAGCGACCCATTGATGGGGCTCAAACCTACATTATACTTCCTTTCCCAATTTTTGCAGACATTATATAATTTTGATATTCAAAAAAACAAACTTAGAGCCTCAGAAAGCCTGTCAAGAATGCCCACAAAAGAATCCACTATAGCCTATTACAATTATTTTCCAATGTTTCTAAAACTCCTTCAACACAGCAATATAGAAATATTTGCTTTAAAAACAAAATACATAAAAAATCCAAAATGTCAGTCAGTGAGAAATACTAAGGAGCTCTGCCTTTAAATTTCAAGTTGCTGTGAAATACTCTGAGTCATCATTGGCTCTTAGACAACATCTGATTTTTTTCTTGATTAATTGATTATTAGTCAACTAATTTAACAATCAAATCTAATTGTTACTTGAGTAACAGTACTAAGACGGTTAACCATGCCATGTGCTGGAAGAATGACCTACGGTAGTAGTTTATAAAGTATAAACATTTGTCTAAACATGAAATACACACAATTTTAAAAATGAAAGTGATTATTTTTATAATATATTTAACATATGACATGTATAGGGGTGTAGATTTTTTAATTTTTGCCATTTGCAATTTATTTAAGATGAGTTTTTCTATAATCCAAATGTTTATTTAGAAATATCATTCCAAATATCTTTTTATTAATCAAAATGTCACTGTAAAAGACCATATAAACGTCATTATTCATATTATTATTAAAGTTTTTTTTATTTCCCTGTGACTAATAAGTAAACAGGCATCTGCCAATCAAAATAAATCAGAAAAATAAATTCCTAACAGGGTTTTAATGGTCTTTGGCTTTGATGACACACCTCTTGTACTTTAATATTTTTAATTAATGGGATAATCTCTTATTTGCTTCACTTACTTTAGCCCCAGATGTGATAAGATCAGCCATTTTCTTCTTACAGTACCGCTGGTATCAGTGGTTGTCATGTATAATGCTAATGATAAAATGCTAACTGTTCACTCTCCTATAATTTAATAAAGTACCTTAGCCGCATTAGCTACAGGTGGATAATGCCATAGCCATGCAGACTAAACCAGTTCCTACAGAGTTTTTTTTAAACAAGAAAAAGTTCAAATTTTATTATTTGTCTGTAGATTTTATAATTGCAATATTTAATATAAAAGAAAGAGTCGGTCTTTTAATCTGTATGAATGCATGAAGAAACTCTTTTTTTAAAAACTCCCGGTCTCTGCCTATTAGTGTTTTACAAAAACCATATTACATTCAGGAATAAATATGACTTTCATTTAGATTTTCAGTCAGAATCTTTGGGTTTTTGAAAGTTTTGCATGCCAGTGTTGTGGTTACCTTGGAGCAAAGCAATAAGCATGTGTGTGTGTATGTATGTGTGTGTGTGTCACACAAAATTTCCACACAATCCCATCAGGGCCATGTGCATGTCCTGACAGGCCTGAAATTCACAGCTTGATTCAGACTGGATGTAGATTAATACAGAAAGCTCTCCCTCACGGAGGATGAAACCATAATGGTGGCTTTGTTCCGATTCCCCCAGCTATGGCCAGACACATTTGGTTTTCATTGCATTTATGTAAAGCATCTCGGTATAGAGCTTTGAGAGGATACCTCAAATCAGACACGGTAAGTAAATATGCCATCTGAGGACTCTTAGAGCGAGCTTAGTTTCCATGGCTGCCGCACTTGAGTTTACACGAGCAGAATGTTTAAATAGTCATTATACTTGAAGGGAAAGTGAGTTTGCTGGGATGGATATGGATGCGGAGAATGGAAGCGGCGTAAATCTGATGAGTGGTGTTTGAACAGAACAGAAGATGATCAGGCTTTCAGAGTGGGATGTTCTCTGCATTTGATTTTTCAAATATCCCTAATAGGCGAAAGTCATCCAGAGGCCAAACGTTTCAGCCAAATGGAGGAAGTTTATTCCTGTTCCCTGCATTATACAGTGAGTTTGACAATTCTACACAAATACACACCCCTTCAATCATAACCCTAGAACATTTTCTTTTATGTGGGTTTTTATTTATTAGACCCTCACAAGGTAGCTGGGATGTTGAAAGAAAATGGTGGATTTATTTTTTATTAGTTTTTTTCAAATTTTCAAATTCCTCTGTTGTATTCCTCTTCAACATCATACATCCATTTAATGAAGTTATTGCCCTCATTTGCAAATTAGCTTAAGATTGGATGGAGATCATCTGCAAATATTCTCTTTTAAGTCATGCCACTGATTCTCAATGCATTTAGAGATTAACACTGTTTGGGATTTTCAATTACAAATTTATGTCTTCTGAAACAGACACCAAGTATTTATAAGCCATATTGTTTTTGTTTTATTATAATATGTAATCCCTATGTAAAAAATCCAGGAACTATTCAGCCAAAAAAAAGAAAAAAAAATTGGATTAATTGATTAAATTAGTTAAACAGCTTCTTGTTGCCGGGAATAGACAAAAAAACGGATAGAGCCTCTGAATCTGAGTAAGAAACAATGAAATGTGTACAAAGAAAATTAAGATTAAAAGCTAAAAGTTTCTGTCAGATTATCGGTGTTCGAGTCAACAGAGGAATCAAATTTTGGAGTAAAGGTTTAAAGGAAATTAAATAAGAAATTTAGTGTTCAATTTAGCAGCTGTGTTGCAGAACAAGGACTCATTAAATTACATCTAAAGGCAGAAAATTGCAACTTTTTATTTTATATTTATGGGTAATGGAGTTAAGAGGGTTGAATCCTTTTTTTTTTTTCTCTGACAACAATTCACAAATTTTAGTTGGTCTTTGACATCAGTGATATAATTAAAGTTTGCTTTTGCATCCTGTAAAAATTTAGATGCATGATCACTTTGCAAAAACATGCTTAAAAATAATATAAAGTATTAAAATAATACTTTTGCTGCTTTCGTCAGATTTTCCATCAGAGTCAATTAAAAACGTAAGGCTCTCCTTTAACGTTTGTTCAGTGTGTTCCGTAATGGAGATCTTCTGTGCCCACCTTTCCGGTTCATCATTCCCCGGAGCATGCAGCAGGACTTGGATCAGATCCTGAGTCTGGTTACAGAGAAGGTCAGCTTACGGACTGGAGCTGTGCGCAGGTCAGGCGAGCTTCACATATGGCCCTCTCCTAGATCCTATCAAGAAGTTCAGGATCTGGGTAACTTTTTTTTCAGACTGTGCTCACTAGAGGGGGCTTCCATCTCCTCAGCTGAGGAGCTGCAGACAGGCCGCTGCTATGTTGCTGTGGGAACTGAAAGGTTCAAGAAACTTCCATATGTGGAGCTGCTGGTTTCCAAAACTAAACAAAGGTATTGAAACAACGGTGTTCTGTGTGTTTGTGGAAATGTTAGTTTTTTCATGCATCTGTCCTTGTTTCCTTCCACAGTTAAGACCATCAGAAGATACAACAATAGCCATTGTAATGATCAAGTCTCCATTTTTATTTGTTTTTAGAAATTATCCTGAAAAGAGGAGACTGCTGAGGAGAACTGAGGTAAAAAAAAAAACTTCTTTCTTTCACATTTGATTATAATCCTAAATATCATATTTAAGTCAGACTTGTCATTTTCAAACTCTCACACATTATTTGCAGCAGGTCACTTCAGAATATTTCTTTTAAAAGCAAAATAGATCAAAATGGTCAGATACTATTTCTCTTAGAACAGGAAAGCAGGAAGTGGGCCTGAGGACCGCCACAGTGACTCCGCCCTACTTAACTCCCCAGAGGTAAAACGAAGAGAACCTCCATCTGCTTCATAACCATCTGATGCCATGACTGCTTGTTACTGATTCATTAGTTTAGCAAAAGATGGAGACATTATATGTGCATCTCCACCTCCTAATTAAAATGCATGAATAGCTGTAAGTCTTGACTTTCAGTCAGATGGTCGGAGGGTGAAGTCGACCGGAGATGAAGCTTTAGCTCCTCAGTCTTCGCAGCAGCTGAGCAGGAGAAAAGGAGCAGATGAAGCTTCTGCATTCTTCGCCAGACCCGTCAAAGTTCGCAAGAACAGAAATCAAACCCGACCACCGCGCACCAATGGATCTGGTTAGGATCAACTTCCATTAGGCACAATATGCTTTTATGTATTATAAATATCTTAGCTGACAGGAAACAGGTGTGAGAGACATATCTGAACTTTATGATCTACATGCAAATGCTTGGTGTCATATAAACCCTCATACGTCATGCTGAACACAGCATATCTGGTGGTGGCAGCGTCATGCTGTGGGGATGGGTTTTTCTTAATCTGGTGCAGGGAGACTAATCAGAGTTGATGGAAGGACGGATGAATTTAAAAACTGGATCATTATGAGAAAAAAACAGGAAAAGAATTGAAAATGGAGCACTGGTTTAGAACCAACAGACCATGACGTTTGTGTCCAAAGTCGGTCCTTTAAAGGCTGCTGTCCCGCAGTTTGTTTGAGATGCTCCAACAGAGCAGATAATTTAGCTCCTTGGCATGTTATCTAATCCAGGTGTGTTAGTGCAGGAAAAAAAAACCATCTAAAACAACAGGACAGCGTCTGAGGAAAGACAGTAAAAACTCAAACGGGAACAAATATGTCAGAGGGTTCTGAAACCTAGCATTTAAAAGCAGAAAATATTGAATAATTTTCCTTTATAATTCATCAGAAACTGAGTTTTAAAATAGTCTATTTTTGCGACAGTTAAGCCAGGTGTGTTTGAAGGAGAAGAAAGGACAAACAGGGAGGAGGTCCGGGATGCAGAGGAAGTGCAGGAGGATGAGAATACGGCGACAGAGCTTCCTGTTGATCAGGTTAGCTTCAGACACCACACACTCATTCCTGTCTCATTACATCAAAGTCTTTAAAGGCTTTAAACCTGAAAATAAAATTCATACAGCATTGTCATCTAAAAATGTATCGCAAAGATTTGGGTCAAATCTAAAGCAGATTCTCGTTCTTTATTTAAAGAGAGTTGCAGAAATAGTTGAAGATGAAGACTTAAAGACCTCAGAGGACCCTGTGCACAGCATTCAGCAGGTGGGTAGCATCTTATTTAAATGAATTCAGACATGGCACTTTGGGCCGGATCTATCAAAGGTTTGCGTGTATAAAAACGTGAGCTATTTCACTGCGCACGCTAAAAAATGTACAAACTGATCTATCAACAGCGTGCTAAAAGGATTTGGTCTTTAAAACGTGCTAAATAGCGCCTCTTATCCATTTAGTACTTTTTCTGCAATGAATATGCAATATGGGGCGTTTACACGCAAAAGTGCGTCTTGTGGGAGGAGAACATGTAAATATATTAATTTAGCACTCGCAAAGTGATTTATTAAACCTGAAAGCAATTTTGCTAACGGTATCTGACTCTATATTTAACACGTTTCAAAAGAAGGTGCAAATGGTCTGTATGCGTAATTGCGCACACATGGCAGCGTTATTGTCGCAAGAAGGAGACATCGAAATGAAACAAGGTGTCGCAGAGAACGCATTTTTTCACTCCGTGTGAATATTTTTGGAATGAACGAGGAAACGATCATCAAAACATATGGTTTATCCTGCATTGCCATTTTGGAGCTGTTGGGGGAACTCCGAATGGATTTGGAGCCAGCCACAAGGAGGACCCACGCAATACCAGATATCACAAAACTCCTTGCAACATTGGATCTCCCAATCTCGTTTTTCAGAAGTGCTGTCTGACGTTCTAAATGCCATGTCGCCCTGACGCCCTAACGGAGAAACCAGACCTCCCCCCTGCGCCTGTGGAGCAACATGCCAATGCTGCGGGGATGCGTACACGCAGTAATCTCATCCACAGTCACTTCTTGTGAGCCATTTTTTTTTTTTTTTTGGTGGTCACTGTAAGATTTAAATTTCTTAATGCACTAGTTTGTACAAACTACTTTGCCGCAAACCACAAAACGCGCAAAACCATCATTTAAATAGGACGTCTCCAACAGTTTTGCACCTGCCACCAGTTACGCAATCGCTCTTGTTAAATCACCCGCAAACCATGGTTCAGCCCCTTGTGCAAAATTCCAGTTTGCGATCGCAAATTACTGCACGCAAAATTGGATCTTGATAAATCTGGCCCTTTGTGTAATGTGATTACACAGTAGATAAGACAAAAAAATTTATAAAAAATAGAAAAAACAAAAAGGCACTAATAAAATGCTGTGCCTGGGTGTATTATTTACTGTTAAAATGGCAATAAATGTATTTCTTAAAGTGTATTAGGGCCACTGAAGAAATTTAAAAAGTTAACTGATTTTTACATTTTATTTCAGTATAATATGAAAAAAAAAGTCAGAATTCTGACAGCTAACAAACATGTTAGCATCAAGCCATAGCCATGTCTGTTTTAAAGACTAAACCAGCTCTCTTGTTTTAATCACCTTCTGCTCTTCCATTAATGCAATAGCATCACCGGGGACCCCTTGGGCATGTAAAAAGTCGCCCAATTCCGTCATTTTCCACCAATGTGTTACTGGCCCCCCCAAACAACTCACATATTTGTCAGTGAAGCTAATTGCTCCCAAATGTCTTCCTTTATGGTGCCCATCTACATTAAGATCCAAAATTCTGAGAAAAAAAGTCAGAATTCTGAGATTAAAGTCAGAATTCTGACTTTAATCTCAGAATATTCTGAAATATTTAAAAATCAGTTAACTTTTTTTTTTCAGTGGCCCTAATCTTTCGTAATTTCTAACAAAAAAACATCTTTTTTTTTTTTTTAAGAGACGTGCAGGAAAGAGTGAACAGCATAACAGCAGCAACCATCAACAGGAACCCAGTGGAAAGCAGGTAGAGCATGTGAGTGGGTGTTTATATTAGCAACTGCCTCCTATTTAACTGGGTCAGTGTGTTTTTTATTTATTGTTATTTATTTCTGTATGAAAGGTGAAAGCATGTGAACAGGAAGAGGAGTCAGCAGCTCAGACTCTGGTATAAACACACCCACACATTTAACCAGCTGCTGGATAATTAGAGGCACGGAAAACTGATCATAGCGGTCTGTGTTTTCGAAAGGAGGCTGAGCTGAAGCCTGTGTCTTCAAAGTCAAGTTCATCATCATCATCATCTCACTCAGAGGGAAAGGTCAAGGAAGAGCAGGCAGGTTTACAAACATCTTCAAAATGTTGCAAATACTTTGCCCTTATGATTTGATATTCTTCCTGACAGAAGAGCCTGCAGGATGCATCACCAGCTCGATCCGGACAGAACCGGCAGGTCACAGTATGACGCGTCACCGAAGATCTCTTCCACAGTCCAGCTAGATGGTTGGAAGTTTATCTTTTTATCCATAGGACAGATATGTCAAAAATAAACCAACAAATCATTCCCCAGATTTAAAAAATAAACTATTTCTAAAAGGGATGTTTATTTTAACATTTTATTTACGCTTATTTCATCCTGTTTAACAGGATTAAATGCTGACATTATGTACATGTAAATATAAGAAACTTTTAACCCTGTGTAGCTTATTTTAAAGAAAATACCCCATAAAAAGCTGATATGAAAATAGTTTTATCCAGTGATGTCTAAATTATGATCCTATACCTTTGATAAGTATTTTTTTAGCTGATTTAAGTTTTACCCAACAAAAGGCTTCCTTTTTTTTTTATTAGTTTTAGCTAGCTTCAATTTAAGTGAAATTTTGTTACACCAAGGCGTGACATAAATGATCCTTTTCATCAACCGTTCTCTAATAGCTTATTGTGTCGACAACATCTTTGGAAATTCCTCTCCCACGGAAGTAAAAACCAACCAGTAAAAACTAACAGCAACCATTTTCTACGTGAGCGCCATAAATCTAGAGTGAACCCTACTTCAACCCTCTATGTCTTCAGCATCTTCTTCCTCTGGCAGGTCTTTTGAAGTCCAACATGAGTAAATCTAGGAGCGATTCTCCCTGCAGGACAGTTTTCTGTAAACAGCTTCTGCCTAAATCTTCACCCTCCTCCAGTCCAGCTGAAGATGCAGCGTTGGTCCTCTTTTCTTTCCCGCTAAGTGATCCCCTGGCAGCGCAGGTGAATTTGCTTTAATCTTGATCTCCATCAGAGCTGATGCTGGCCCTGGTTCTGTCCGTCAGTATCTTTGCTTTCAACGGAGCTTATAACACACAGAGTGATCCCAGCCATAGTGAGGAGCAGCCCCAAAACAGCCCCTGCACAATGAGAAGCAGGAGAAACATTTTTAATAAAAAACAGAAGATGGAAAGTGATAGATGCTGCATGTCGATGATGAAGGATCCAGCAGAGATCATGACTCACGTTTGCCTCCTATTTCTTCACCCAGCAACTTGCCAGTCAGCAGAGTGCAAAGGAAGGTGAGAGAGTTCGCCACAGGAACAGCAAAAGACAAATCTGTGTCGGAAAAGAAACATAGTGAAATATACAGATTCTAGTTTGATGAGAGAACCGGTGATGGACGCCCTCCACATGTCAGGTCTTTGTTAAAAGGAACTGGTTCAACAGAAACAAACAGCCACATCTGAATGAATTAGAATATCATCACGATAGGATTTTGTTATTTCCCCTCCTCAGGAGGTTATTTTTATCTTTGATGATACGGATGATCCTAGCTAATGAAAAATGTATTTAAATCTCAGCCTCTTGGAAAATGTGAATCAGATTAAATAAAAATCATTGTTAATAAAATGAAAATATGTAGCTACTGAGCAGAATGTCCATGTAATCCACTGTTTCTATGTTTGTTCAGGACTCCATTAGCATGAACGCCTGCATCAACGAGGCATGGCATGAAGGATATGAACCTGTGGTTCTGCCCAGTTAGACTCCATTCTTAGGTCTGGGGTCTTCCTCTTCCTTTAAACCATCTTCCATATAGGCTCCTTGGAGGTGCAGTTCAGATCAGTTTGTGGATCAATTTATCCAAACTTTTTAGGCACACAGAAGCATCAGTGGTTCTAAGATATCCTGTTGGGCATTTCGAACTGACATTGAGAAACCAGAACACCAGCAGCAGATGACATGGCTCCAAAACATCAGTTACCACAGAAACATTACAGCGGACTTCCAACAACTTGGTCTCTCTCTCTTCCAGACTCCAGGACCTTGACTTTTGAAATTAATCTAGATTTTAATCCTGCTTTATGCCTGACAGGCCCACTAGGTCACCATGGCAAAATTATTGTTTTTTTTCCACACCATACACCTAGGAATATTTAAATCCACACGGAAAGCTCGGTGCAGAATATTATGAATGATGAGTGACAAATGATACTAGCAAGGCTTCGCAAATATAAAAGCATATAAACATTTTATGAATTGTGAAAAAATTGTGAAAAGTCTTTTTTTTTAGAAAGCTACAAACGCTGTAGTTTGTGCATCTAATTTCTCTGTGGAACGTAGTTGGAGTGGTGCCGTAGTGGTTAGGGCATTGCACTTGGATCCCAGAGGTTTTCAGGTTTTTTTTCAAGCTTTTGCGACACTAGTGGCTCAATTATTATTTTTTTGGATAGTAGTCTGACACGAAAGGGGGGGTGACACCTGCTGCAAAACAACACAGGTCGGATTCGAACCTTGGTCGGCCAGGTCAGGGATTAGGCCTCTGTACATTGGTCATGCGCGCTAACCACTGTTCCACTGAAACACACCCTGCATCCCAGAGGTAGCTCCCCAAAGCGATGGTTTAAATGCAGAGTTGATTTCATAGATTTGCACTTAAGAAAATGTAATGACAATAAAGTTGAATTCTATTCTTTCTATTCATACGTTCATTGAGCATTACTCGTCCTTTAACCTAAAACTTGGAATCGTCTGTTCCTCATTTGTGAACCTTTTCCCTTTCACACTTTTTCCATCCTCTAAACTTTCAATCAATATATTTTGCTACAACCCAGACCTGTTACTGTATGTTTCTTCCTCTCTGCTGACGTTGTCAAGTTAGTTGTCTCCTCCATGATTGTTTAGGCCACAGCCTCAAAAAAACATGAAATTTAAAAAAAAAAAAAGTTCCTTTACTGGTGCTGTTTAAAATAATTATCTAAAACGATCATAAATACTAATTTGATCATTAAAATTTGGTATTTTATTTATCAGGAAGATAATGAAAACTTATAAAAACAATTTAAATCTACCGCTAGTCTAATGCATCTATACAGAACTACATAAAATGTATGTTGTTTTTTGAAATTGGACCTAGTGCAGAGCAATTAATTTATTTTATCGATTATCGATGGGCTCCTATAGCTCATAGTGACATAATTTTATCCCTTTCTGTTCTTAGATATAACCTCATAACTAATAAACTAGCTCCCTGTGTGACAACACCAGGTTTAAACTTGTAGTGTTTGATATTTTCATTTTTTTGTTGTGGAACATAATTGTTTTACAGCAATTTCCCAGCTTGAATTTTGTTGCTATTAAATGAAGGTTAAAGATGATTGAAATAAAAAGGTGGTTTTTGAAACTGGTATACGTCTCTTGTATTTTTTATTATGAAACTTTTAGTATTTAGTAGGAGGGGGAAAAAATATCAAAGATAAAATTTTTAAACCATATCTCCCCGCCCGATTGGAACAAGAGAAATAAATGGAGTTCCATGATGATATTCAGGGTTTATACAGGAATGAGTAATTTAATGCTTTTTAATGCTTTTCTAATGCTATTAGAAATAATTTTAATCATCAACAAGTACCCTTGACTCTCATATATATATATATATATATATATATATATATATATATATATATATATACTGGTACACATATATAAAATAAGGCAAAATCCTTCATCATCTTTACTGTCAACAGGCTGTAGCCACGTCCCAAATTCCTCGTTTTCCAGCCACTTTTGTTGAAATTAGCTTTTTCCAATTCTCTAGTTTTTTCTCTGCCTCGAACTTCTTTTCCGAACATATGACTTTACGATCAACTGCCAGCAGTTCCACGCCAATGTATTGCGATATAATATATCTGACGAAATTGACTTCATAAATATCTTTTTTTTTTTTAATAAAGCATTTTAAATGCCCTGATAATCACATTTAAAGAATTGTAATGCCTTTAATGCCTATAATGACTTTTGATGATTTTTAATGACCCATGGAAACCCTGATATTCTAACATATTGAGATGTACCTGTGTAGTATATAAGATATTAGAGTCAGATATTTATCATATACTTAGGTGTTTTACTTACCAGTGGTTGACAGCGTATAAAAATAAACCAGAGAACCACTCTGGTTTAGGAGAAATGGAACCAAGTACTAAAGAGAAACACAATGGAGAGGTTCAGCTAAACAAACAATAACAACAGAGTTCATCTAAACAGGAAACTTTGTCTTATGAGATACCTTGACGTTTAGAAGGAGAAACTTGATTTCAGCCAGAAGCTGAGAGACTCTGTTGGTTTCTTTCACATTTTCGATCCCCTCTGAGCCTTTTTTCAGGAACGGGTTGGTGCAGCCCCACAGCAGCGACACCAATATCAGACTCAGCACCTCCACTTCAAACCAAAACCACATTCACATCTCTACGTTAATGTTTATTATACTCAGGACAAAATACTATACTGCTGCTTCACAGTTTAATCATCAAATTTTACAGCTTGAAGCCAAAAGAATGTATTCAGAATAAAAATTTAGGGGATTTTCAAACAGAATTAAGATCTACAAAAAATACTGAAAACTGTTATTTAGAGAATATTACATCCCAGATATCAACATCCTGAACCAAAATGTTAGAGATTGCCCTGTTTTCCAGTGTGGTCCTGTTTCTCTGACTGTGACTGGCTGGATGTGCTCTCTTCGTCCTCTGGCATGGGAGTTGGCTCAGAGATCATCTGCGTGGCTGTGTGTTTCCTGGACGGGGCTGCCTTTTACAGTTGCTTTTTGTGTCTCTGCTTCTGTCTCCTTGAACCCCAGCCGGACTCGGCAGATGGCCGCTCACACTAAGCCTGATCCTGCTGGAGGTTTCTTCCTGTTAAAAGGGAGTTATTCCTCTCCACTGTCGCTACAAGCATGCTTAGTGTTTGGGATTGCATTTGAGTCAATGAGTGGATGCAATCAACTGGTTTTTCTTAGATAGAAAACTGAATAAACTTGACTGCATGATCTGGTGAACTGTAAAGTGCCTTGAGGTGACGTGTTGTCAATTGGCGCTACATAAATAAACTGAATTTAATTGACATATCAGAAATCTGTCCAAATCAGCAAAAAAATAAAATATGGTAAAAATTCAACCTGCCTATAAAAACCTGCGATATAATCAAGCTGCTTCTGTGTAAAGGATAACGTAACACACAGGTTAAAGATATAATAGGTCAGTTGTTTTCCTACCAACCATTGTTATTTGAGTAATATGATCTCATCAACCCTATTCTAACTTTGCACAAAATGATAAATAAAAGTAAGTGTGATTTGTTCTTATATGGGTATCAACCAACACTCAAAGCTGCAATATTGGTATCGTATTGGAAATAATAATAAAAAAGTTGTATTGGTAAATGAATATGTCATTATTTAAAAAAAATAAAAAAATCCTTTTTTTTTTTTTTTTTTTAAACCAGCTTAGATATTGTAGTTGTAAAGCTTGGTAAATTTTAATCTGGTAAAGCAACAGATGACTTTTCAGTTTATAAATATTTAAATGTACACATGAAAATGTGCATTTTAGACAAAATGAGAAAAACAATGGGGGAAAAAAGCTTAAAAAATTATTTTATATTGTTGGCAAACCGAATAAAATCAGCTTAAGTTGTTTATCAATCAATAAAGTAGATAATTTCTGTCGAGATTTAAATAAAAACGTATTTGATTTTTTATAAATTAGGTAACGACAAAACAACAGTGAGTATTTTCGATTTTAAAAAGGAGAAATGGATGGACTGAAGGTGGTCCAGATTTATTACATGAAGCTAAACAGCTCCTCATTCAGGGAGCTAACAGAAAGTTAGCAACTTGCAGCACCTGGTAGGAGCTAGGCTACTTCCTTAGCATAGGTTAGCTTTTCAGGCGTCCTCAATTTAGTTCTAAAATGTGAGTGAAACTGATGAGAGTCTAATGTCGACAGTAGATATGGTAAAAAAATATTCTAAACAGCAAAACAAACCGGTACCACTTACCTACAGTCACCATCCTCACGTCAACTGCATAGCTCTCACCTAAAAGTCGCGTTCAAGAATCCGTTGCGGTTGTTTAACATTGTTAAACCACACAAAATGTACTCATGTCCCCACGTAGCCCGTATATCAAATAAACGGAGGATTTTAATTTAAAATATAATTTTTATCAAAATGTATGTTAATTACGCGTCAGTTTTATTTTAATCAAATTAAATACCAAAAATTTGTTATCTTGAATGTACCCTCCAAATCCAATTTGTTTGTAGCCAAGTCCTACCAGCAGAGGGCGCAGTAAATCCTAAACAACCTTTTGGCTTGATCTATTTATTAACTTATGGAAATTTGAATGAGCTGACGTAGAGGGTTAAAATGAAATTAACTTATCTGGAGGCACATGTGGAAATTAACAGAGGTTGTAGATCAACTCACAAATGTAAATAATTTCTCAATAATAACCCAACAACCACAATAATGTTTACTTTGACGTTTTCCAGTCTGATAAGCCTTCATAACATTTCTGTCTATTATTAGGATGAATAAATCATCTATATGATAATATAATATTTAAGAATAGACAAGTATGGTGTAAATAGCTGAAAGTTTTAACTATGTGTACACCATAATAATACATGAAACCATGTATTAAAATTAAAATGATGCACTTATGTATTAAAATGATGCACTTTAAAACAAGGAAGCTTCTTGTTATAACTTTATGACATTAATTTAGACAAAACATTTATTGTTTTTAGTCTTTTTCAGTTACTGATATAATTTATATCCCCTAAATCACTGACTATTGAACAGGACTCAGTCTCTAATATAATGAGGTAGATGGTTCCCTCGTAAATATTTGGTGCTATGCTTGGAGATTTCCAGTGTAGTATATATCACCCTTAATTATAGCATGTTAGCTGATTAGATAAGTGTTCAGTGATGTTGAGTTTAGGGCTGCATATTCTGTAATCCCAACTTCTACAGGTTTAAATAAGTCTCTGAAAAACCTTCAGAGTTAAAACTAACCTTTGTAGGCTAGTCTTTGCTCCTCAATAATAGAGATAGGATTATTCAAAACTTTATTGATTTCAAAGGAAAATTTAATCCAAAATCATATCAAATGATATATAGACACCTTAGGAGATCCTTTAAAATAATTTAGATAATTACCCAACAAATTAGGCTCTTTTATTATATCTAAAGTAACTTTTGAATATATAAACCTTTAAGCAGTATTTATATATTTATTATTAATCCTGAATTTCTTGATTAAAAAATTGTATATATGAAATTAACAGATATAACAGAAATGACAGTTTTATAAATATATTATATTTATATAATGTGTTTCTCTTAGTTAATTACTATTCCGAATCATCATGTATAATCAAGTATTATGTTTATAACTGATGTTGTATTGGCTTTTTGACGGAGTATCTTATATTTGCATATTTGACCTACTATATGAATAAATACCAACTAATATGAGGAGGAGAGTACCCCCAAAACATACAATTAAAGCTACTTTATCTATTTATTGATCCATCTTTAACCACCATTAGTATTTCCCAGTTTTCTATCTCCAGGGCAGATTGAGATGCTTTCAACAAGAAATACAAATTCAAACATAAAATATTGTAATTTTATTATAATCATAAGTCACAAAGAAAGACAAACAGATACAATAAAAAAAACACCCTAAGAGACAAGGAACAATGATATAAAGTGCAAAATACTTTCGTTTCAATTTCTTTCAGAATTCACATCAACGGGTTTTACTGACAGATGCTAAACAAAATAAAACCTAAACTAATCTGTGAGGAAAACACTAAGACAGAATTATGGGTAATAAATCCGGTTTAACACAATCAGTTATACTGCTAAATGTTGCACAATAAACTGTCATCTAGCATATTTATATTTCAGTTATTGAATTTAAAACTTCTCATAGACTGCCCCATTTGATGATGAAGATGTCTTTAAATAAACTTTTTCCAAACAAAAGTGGGGCTACTGACACTGGATAGGATCATGGATCCAAAAGTAGAGTTTAAAGAACTAAATCCTTCACACCAAACATTGTCTGTCATGGCAGCCATTATATTTCACTGCTTTATTTAAGTATGGTTTCTCAAATAAAAGGTGAGAACTCAAACATCAAAACATTTTTTTTCCAATCATCAGATTGTCTTTATGCTGTATCCTTCATAATCCAAGGCTCTTGAATGTGACACCATTTTGTTCATGATTCAGTCACCTGCAGCAGCTCAGCGGGTCCACACTGACAGAGAGAGATCATAGATTCCCACAGGTTTCAGTCAGCACAGATTGCGGTCTGGTCTGGAGATAAAGCATCAGTCAGTGTCTGCTTTCAGCCTGAACTGCAGTCTGTGTGCTATGTGTTGAATGGAGAGGGTGCGTCATGTATGGTGACCACAGTGGATTCGCTGTAGTCGCTGGTGGTGCTGAACTGGTCTATGTTGTTTCCCTCCACACTGCTGAGCTCCGCTCTGGGCAGCTGGAAGCCATTTTCTGAAGCCGGGTTGGAGTTGTTGATGCTGCCTGATATGGTGCTGAGAGGCACGCTGCCATTAACTGTGGACTGGGATAACTTTGGACGGGGTTTGGAGCCCGACCTGCCTCCTAGAAGTCTTGACTCATGTGTTCGCCTGGCCAGAAAGAGAGCAACACAAGACTAAATATCTTCTTTAACAAGGCCACCTGTTTTGATCGCTCATAATAATGTAAGAACACCAAGAATATGATCACAAAGATGACAAGTATATGTACATTTATTGAAATTTTATTCAAAAGACTAACGAAATTAGTGCATCTTTTTAAAGTAGAAGGAAAATAATAACACCTTTTAGATTTGTTTAAACCAAAAAAGGGATTGGTTATTTGTATTCAACTTCCTATGCTCTGAAACTCATAAATACAATTCAGCCCAACTAAATGCCTTCAGTCAGCACTGAATTAGTGAAGAGAGTCAACGTTTGTGAAGACACTACATTACAGTAGGTCCATGCTGCATTTATACACTAGCCTTGTAGGCTCTCGGTTGATAATGGATCTTTTTTATTACCAGGGCATGGAGTAAAAACAATGAATCTCAGCCCTCCATCCCCAAAAACCTCTGGAGCTAAATATGGGGCTTTTTATGAGTGTTGCGCTGATGCCATTCTTTGGCCCCAATACCGATACTCGATTCCTGGCTGTGCAGTATTGAAAGATACCATCTGTTTGAAATTGATGTGTGTGTGTATATATGAAGAACTGCATACTACTTGGATGTAACATAATTGCCATCATGGCTTTGTCAAGCTGCTGCCTACCTTTGTGAAGCAGAAAAAAGACAAAAAAAAAAGTGAATTGCCTACCTGGAATGGGTGACAATAGCTTAATTAACTTTTGGCTCTCGAAATGGTATCGGTGCCCTATTTGTCGGTACTCGCCGATACCGATCACAACCATTTTAGTGCAGTATCAGGGGCCCGCCCGATACTGGTAACGGTATCGGTGCAACACTACTTTTAATGTGCTAGAGTGGCCCACTGATCTATATTTATTCACTTGATTGCTGATAGGTCATTGGTAGTACACGGTGCGTTGAAGTCACCGGCCGCCATATTGGTACCCCCTAGTTAGACTGGTCGGAACGTAAACAATACATGCGCTACAGCGTCAAACAACAATGATGTTCTCATAAGACTTTTAAAATAAAGATGAATTAATCACTTTGACATGCATTTGATGTTTCATTGCATCAGTACACTACTGTCATTTATGGTAAAAAAAAAAATAGGCACATCACACTGCATATTCAGTATGAAGGCCATGAAGTCAATTAATCATTTTATATAACATATTACACAAATCCTTCACAACCAAAATACTGTGTTGATGGAACATGATAATATAGTCAGATATTAAGAATATTACACAGACACATAAACCCACACACCATCTGATGATGTGCCTAAAGTGATAAACGGATGATGTACATGTAATATACATGTATTGATTACATTATTATGGAAATTACATTACATTACAGGCATTTTTATGGCGCAAACCTCATTGAAATTGGGGAGTTCCAAGATGGCAGCTGGTGACTTCAGTTTTTTTTCAGTCTATCAGCAATCTAGCGAATAAATATAGATCTGTGGAGTGACCCAGTCCAAATCTGAATGAAAATATGTTGTAAGACTTGGCAGAGGAAGAAATTTCAACCTAGATAAGCAAAGTTGATGGAGACACTCAGTTTTTCCTTCCAATTCAAACATACTTTTCAGATGGTCTATCGCGTCAGTTACACTAAAGTATCTGGTTGTTACATTAAAAAGTGACAAAAGTTCAAGAGGTATTCATACTTTTCTAATGTGACCAAACGGATACACTTTGTTTATGTCTTTAATAGAGGTAATTTAAATGTTCTTCTGCATTATGTTAAAGAATTCAACAACAAAGAATCAAATTTTTTCACAGATGAAAAGCTGGAAAGCTTCAGCAGGCATCCCGTTCACCCTGAATGAATAAAAATAGACCCAGTATGCTATCATCAGGCCAATACAATATGAAGGAATGTCATCTCACCTGTTATATGTCTTCAGAATGATGAGAACAACGGCAAGAATTATAATGATGCCTATGACAATGACAGCAATCATAGCCCCAGAGCCTGCAAAGTAGACAGAGAGAGAAAGAGACATAAAAGTCTAGAAAGGCAGGTTATCTACCATCGCCTCACCACATGCTCTGTTTTGTTCACATTTTTTTTTCTATCTGTGGTGCAACTTTTTAAAAAGTCCTTCAGCAGTGTTGTAACATAGCAACGGCACATTCAGATAAACAAAATATGAGAAAAATGTTTTAATATATGCATGGGTGCCATTCTTGAACACACTGTCATAAACTGTGACGATACAAATTGTCTCTAAAGAGACATGATGGGTGTTTCCTCTAGGTTTTCTAATATCTGCAGAAAGAACAACGTGTTTTAGAATCTGTAACCAGAACTGCAAAGAGACAAAAACATAAACAAACACAAAGCATAATCTGGTTTCTTACTCTGGATAAGTATTTGTTCTCTAGACTTAGTCACAGACGTTGTGTTTGAAGGAACTGTAGTGATGGGCGCAGGTGAAGCAGATGAACTCATTTTCAGCAATAACCTGCAAGAAAAGAAATGTGATGATCTGCAACATCTTTGAGATATTAAAGCAATATATGTTAGGAACTTTGTAAAAGCTTTCTTTCACATAAAGACAAGAGCATTAGGAGGAGATTTTAGATTAATAAAAAAAGAAGAAAGAGACTAATATGTGGTATTGCATGAGTATTAACATTACATGCAAGGTAAGTTTATTTGTACAACTGCAAATCAAAAGCGAAAGGTATGAGGAAAAAAAACATTAGTAAAGGGAGAAACATTTTAATGACTGAAACATTATTGTTTATGTATGATATTTAAAACGAAAGCCCTACAAAACAGACAGTCATAGAATATTAAATGAACTGATAAGGTAATATTTGTTATGATAGACAGTTATAGGTTTCCATGGAGTTTGCTTCATAGGTTATACAAATATCAGCTAAACGCTTCCTCCACCTTGCTAATGCTTATGTAAAAATAAGTAAAAATCTCTCAAAATAAAAGTATTTTTGTTTAATTTGAGCAGGAAAATGCGTTGATCTGCTGACGGAATTAGTATTTTTTTCCCCTTAAAATTAGATAATTAGATATTCACTTGTAATAGAACAACTGAGTTGTTTGCTCTTACTTCAAATGCAAATTATCTTATTCTATTTGCAAAACCTGATCAATACAAAGAAAAACTCTAATTTTGAGAAAAATTATCTAATTTATATATATTTCTGTGCACCAGGAACTCTGTAAGCAGATCTCTAATGAAATATGGTTCATCCCTATAAAATATCCAAGGTCAAAGACTATTTAGTACCTTTAAAACCATCAATAATGCATTAAAGCCCTGATAGCGGGTCAGTGCAGTGATTAAAGGAGTGGGGTCATTGGATCCAATAACCTGGTCTTGGCCCGGCCTCTAATAGCAGCAGTTCGGATGAGCTGCAGCTGCCTGCTTGATTTCTTTTTTTACTAAAACCTATAATTTATCTATATGTTTTTAGCCGGATATATGGAAGTTAAAATTAAAGTGTGCTTTTCTCTTTCTCCTTATTCAATCTAATTCTAGATTTCTGATTTTTTTTTTATTATGCTTGGGACTAAAATTAAAAACTTGTGCAACATTCTACACTGAACCAAAGTCTGGCCCCTCCATTTATTATCGTTGAGGTCTTAATTGATAATTGAACATTCACATTTTGGATAAAAGAGGCATAAGAATAAAGCCTTGTAGAACCAACATGAATATTTAATAGATTTTTAATGATCAAATAACAAGAAGTAGTTCCAGTTTGCCAAATTAGATATGAACCTATCTTATCGAGCACCAGAAAACACAATCTTCTCTTTAAGTTTGTCAGTCATAATTTGTTGATCATTTATGATTTGTACAGAAAAAAAGCAAAATTGTTTTTTCTTGCATTAATATCATTGAACAAGAGCTCTTTAAACTGAAATGCTGATATCAAGCTGCTTTATTTCAGACTTAAAACCACTGGTTGATGCCCAAGGAGGAACCATCAAGTTTTCAGCCTTAAATATTAATTGTTCATACTCACATTTAAATGGAGAATCTATATACAGTAACTTGGATTTTAAATGCAAAAGTTCAAAGTTCAGTGCCACACAACTCAAAAAAATAAATGCCTCAAAACTGAAAGAATAATAAAAAAAAATGATTTAGAAATAAAATTTTGTGGAGCTATATTTTTAAACTTATAATAGAGACTAAAAATCTTATAAAATGAGGCTCCATTTCCATCCAATCACATTTTCAAAAACATCAGTTATATATTGTGCAATTGAAAGATGTCTTGTTAACTAGTGAACGCATTTACAAAGCATTTTACAAAGTAACAGCTTGATCTTTTACAGAGAATGATTATTTCTCTGTCTTATTTATTTTGTATGTGTGTTGTGTCCAGTGTTGAGTTCAATATGTTTTATACAGACATCAAAAGAAAGTAGAAACATTGTGCCTAACCATCACCATGGCACATTTCTAATGTTTTCCTAGGTTTCTTAGCACTGTTATAAAGTACAAAAGATATGAGGCCAGTAGAGAGAAAAGCTGCAAATAAAGATAAAACTATAGCCATAATGTTAAATTATTAAGCAATTAAGATTTTGATAAGCAGGCTTTAAATACATCAACATTTTAGCAAATCATAATGTTTTACATTGTACTATTCAAGGAACATCTCTGTGAGTTTAAATTGTTGTTGATATATACAATTTTGAGATCTTTCTATGAGGAAATCTAAGCCCTCTTGCAAGCTCCCTGCCTGCCTTGTGGGCCTCATAGTTCACCTCCACCATACGCAGGCTCCAGGGACCGAATATAAGAACTACAATAATAATCAAAGCTGTTTTCTAGAGTATTCACAAAAAAAATGCTTTAAGTAAAATGCAATGTTAAATTAACAAAAGTGGACTTAAGATAGAAATCTGATGGATATCACATTTGATTGAACCTCAGAGATGATTTCCAGCAATGATAGAAATAGCACTAATTCAAAATAAAAGACTGAATAGATTTAAAATGACCTTCAACTCAAACCTTCAAAAGTCCCAAGGCCCAACTGTTGGCAATGGACAAAACATAGAATAAAGCTGATTGTTGCAAACCAGGTTTCTTTCAAACATGTTTGTTTAAAATTTCATTTAAATAAAGTATAAAATGGTTTTGTAGGTTGGAGACAATAGGACATTGGGATGTTTGGCCGAATACTATTAGGTACATTTTACTAAAACTGCTACTTTGTCTATTGGTATAAATGCTTCAGTGGCCATGCATAAATGTTTTACTAAACTGAATTTTAAATCTGAGTTTCTATTTTCCATCATGCAGGATGTATATGATCTGTTTTTTCTCCCTTTTTCCATCTGCAGTTCCACCCTTTGAGCAAAACAGATCCAAGACAATAGTTCAGGATAATAGGAAAGCACTGTACAGAGGATCATTACACAAAGGAAGAGCGGCAGGAACAGAAGGTAAAAGACATGCAGTGAATTTAGGGTAGACATGCGTAAGTGTCACTGAGGTAATTATATACAGCAGATTGAAATGGAGGACAAGATGGTGTGAAATTAGAGGTAATCATGACGCAAATGCAGGGATTATGATATATGGGACAGTAAAGGAAAAGAAAAAAGAAACATGCCTTGTTTTCTGTCCTCTTTTTGGCCTAACAATGACAAAACGGAAAGCCATATTTCATTTTCCTTGACCTCAGAGCGGATTTCAGATCTCAATCTAATCTAATGTTATGCGTCATGCAGAGATCCTCTGTTATCCTGGAGAATCCCTGATACCGTTGAGGAAACAAGCTGCACACAGCCGTAGCTCAGGGCTGTCCCTGCAAACGATACCTTTAAGACTGGAGACAATTGCTTCCTCGGAGTTTGCAACTCATACAAACTTCTTTAAAAAAAAAAAAAATTACAACTGTCTCTTACTGTCTAGACTTAAAATAGCATCAAATATATTTACATTTTCTTTCTTGCAACCTTGAAACGGAACTAGTGTCATAATAGCATAAAAAAAGAATCATATCACATAATGTAACTGAAAAGTGGCCTAATATTACCGTCTGAGGGGTTTTGTCATGTCCCATTTCAATTTCACCGAATCCTTATTTAGAGGAAGCATTTCAGTAATTGTTCTAAATCACGGTTAATTGAAGTGCTGGTAGGAGCGAGGCTGCAGTGCGTCAAATGAGACTAAATCACGGCAGCAGGTGGAACAGGTGGCTCGCCCAATTTGCATTGGCAATAAAAAGATGTGAATCCCAGCATGTGGAAACTGAAGGAACACACATGAACCCAGTCTGCTGCTGTCTTTCCTCTCTAAATCTGATCCATCCACCTGTGTGCGAATTGCAGTCAAATTAACTGGAATTTATGCAAAACCTTTCAATTCAAAACACTTGAAAAGATTTGACTGAATTGTATAAACTGGTAAACTAAAGATATTAACTAAAAGGAGGTTTGGGGTTGCTGTTTTAATGAAGGGAAATGTTTTATTTCTTTTATTGATTCCAATTTAATCTGATCCACCCATTCACCTTAGAATAAAAATGAATTGAAAACTCTCTTCTAATATATTCTCCTCCTGTTTTTGACATCAGAACTACAACTTCTCGACTGTAAAACCTTTTTATAAACCTAAAACCTTGATCAGCTGTTATTTTTTAAATGTAAATCCAGAAGAAAAAAAAATCCCTTACTACTGTAAGTAGTTTCTTAAGTCAAATACTTTATTTGATAAAATGATTAAAAAAAAACATTGATTTTATGTAAATAAAGAAAAAAAAATCTTAATTATATTAATTGCTGATGCCTTGGGGGCTTTTAAACAATACAATTAATACATTTCTGGATTTGTATATCCTTGATAAAAAACATTGTTTGTAGAATTTGTGTTTTTATCCTTCAGACAATGGTAGACATCGAGCCTGATTTATCTTTTTGTTCGTTCACATCATATAGCAGATGCTACAGAATAAATAACTATCATCTATCCACCTATAATTTGCTTGCTATACACAGTACACAATTATAATTATGAATGTACGGTTATAACTAGATGATTAAAAAAGTATTTCTTAGTTTGTAAACAGCAGAAGGATGAGAAGCGCTTATATGGAAACTGCAGTGGCTCCTACAGGTTAAACAGTGAGAGTTTACAAGCCTTGCATGTCCTGGATACAATTTGCTTTTGTATTTATTTATTTTTTATAATTTATGACCCAAAACTGTGGAAGCGATAATAAAACCTGACTGACATGAAAATTGAGAAGTAGGAGGTTAGATCCCTCTGGTTATTTGACAGATTGTTATCTTTTATTACCTGGTGATGACAAACTCATGGGGCTAATTTCAGATATGTCTGTGTACTGAACATGTTATACAGTTTCCTAATCACTGCTAAATATGGCATCATTGACTCTTCAAGTGTTGACACATTATTAAGCATAAAGGTTAATAAGGAGATCGATAACATTTACTCTTTACAGTGCTGACAGC